ACTCCCTTGCCAACTCCCTCTACTGGGCTTTGGCTGAGGGCCACGCCTGCGAGCAGTCTGCCCGACGAAACGCAATGGAGGTAAGTTTCCACTAACAAAAATTTCTTATTCTACACATTTTTTTTTTCAATGATGCTGATTATATCCCTCAGAACGCCTCCAAGAACGCTGGTGAGATGATTGGAAAGTACCAGATTCTGTACAACCGTACCCGACAGGCTGTCATTACCGGAGAGCTGGTCGAGATTATTACTGGTGCTATTGCCTCCGAAGAAATGTAAAGAAAGAAAAAATATAATTTTGATTTTTTTACATCTCTTTTTTGTCGGTAGAACGAAAGCAGAGAGCTGGCACGCCGGAAAAAGTGAAAAGAAGAAACACTACAACTGTGTAATAACAAAGCTAGAGGTTACCCAGCGCGGTGTCCCCAGTCAGTGTATCAAACCCACAAATAAAATTTCTTAGTAGATACCAGCTCGAACGGAAATTTTGCATCACGATGAAGAAATAAACAAATGAATGAATGATTGATCTCTATACTGTACTTGGCTCGGTATTGACGAGCTTGAGAATCGCCAATAATTTAATGAAGACGACTTTCAATTGATTAATATATATATCTCGTCCTATAGACATGTACTAAGTATGAATCCATCCTCAAGCAAGACTTTTATCAACGCCTTAACAAAATCCTGCGGGACCCAAGCATCCAAACACCAAGTATATAATGCCACAAAGGAGGAGACCAGTGGCCAATTTTATAATTCCACGTCGCTATCTCCGCCCTCTGCATAACTCACATTCCTCGCCCGCCGATGCTTCTGCATCATAGACGCATCCTCCGGCCCTTCCTCCGGACCCGGCAAGCTAGGATGCTCCTGTTCGTAGGCAGCTCGAAGCGCGATGGCCTGACGATCCCACTTCTCCGCCAGCTCAGTATACTCCTGCATCGCCTGTAGGTAAAGCTTCTTCTGCTCGGCGGCCTGTTCTTCATATGGTCTTCTTTCGTCCGGCGTGGCCTCTTTCCACATACGAGATGTCATTATGCGAACCTCGTTTGGTAGGGACCGTGTCTTGCCTGGCTTGCGGCTTTCTTCGCATTTCTTTTTGGCGGCTTCGAAATGAGCCTTGCTGAATAAGATGTAGGCACTACCGGACACCTTGTTCGGGCGCAATGGCCGGTCGCCAATCTTGGAGAGGACGTGCTCCCATACCTCTATCTCGTATGCTTCTAAGCGTGCCTGCCGGGGATCCTTGGCCGCCTCCTTACGTTTATGCAGCAAAAGTGAGTCCCTTGGGAGAACGAGAGGAGTCGGGACCTCGATGGGCCCAACCATTGCTTCCAAGACTTCGGATGCAGCACGCAGTCCTGACAAGTATGCGCCGTGAACGGTCGCTGGGTGCGTGCCGATGGTATGCTCGCCAGCGAAAAAAAGATTGCCGGCTGGTTGCGCCATGACATTGTAGTCTTCTGGCAGCATATCGGGGGCAGCCGAAGAGTAGCTGCCTCGGGCAAAACGATCAGAACCCCATCTCGTTACCACTGTTTCTGTGGGATAAGGAACGTCTTTGCCAAAGACGCTCCTCAGAATCTCGGTGGCTTCGGCGACGAGGCTATCATTGCTCGTATGCTCTGTATCAAAGCCAGCGTCTCCGGCCATAAGTGCGATTAGACAGGGTAGACCAGTTGTATTGGTGACATTGAACCACTGGAAGAAGCGTCCCCGGTTTGTGCTATAATCTTGTTGAGATGTGCTATGACGGTTGGTCGCATCTCGGAGTACACCAAAGATATGCCTGTCTGAATCCCAAAACACCTTGTCGTAAAGCAAGACAACTTTGTTGAGGATACCAAACCCTAGTCGACTAATTGCATCCGCCTTCTGCGAAGGCAGCGGAGGCTCGAAATTAATACTGCCTTGCTTGAGGACGCCAAGGGGTATGGTGCAGACGACGGCATCGGCCTCTACTTGTGTACCATCTTCGCTTTCAATGATTGCTACTCCATCAAATCCCTCGCCGTTGTAGGTAATTTTCTGCACTGGGAACTTGGTCATAATGTCGAGTGGCGATGGGCACTGGAGCAGGCCACGAGCGACACTCTGATACCCTCCGACAACCATGGTGTGGTTGCCCTCCCATTCGTTGCCGGCATCAATGTCCCATAGGCCGAGACTCAGCTTATGAAGATTTGTAGCGTTGCTATATTCTAGATTGGCAATGTGCCAATTTATCAGTCGATGGTCTTGTGCGTTTAGATCGACAATGCTCTTGTACTGGGTAATGGCGTGGTCCAAGACGGATCCTAATGTTGACCCTTGCAGAGTAGTGGCAGGTGTTAAATCGAGGTTGCCCTTCTCTGCCGCCCCCGGTCTGATGTTCCATCCCATCAGCCTTGCCTTTTCTGATGCCTTGATGGTTGCGGGAACTCCAGGCTCGTTATGTACTCGGCCCGTCAGCTTATCTGCGGAGACTGGGACCATGTTTACTGTCTCGGGTACGTTTTGTTGGGACACTGATGGAGCATCGGGAAGCGCAGCGGTGGCCTCTTCAGCCTGCATGATCGTCTTGGAGCCGTCTCCCAGGCTATCCCGACCATCATCGATCAGGTCACGGTGGCCCTCAATCAACTTGGATGGCTGGGACTTGAACTTGAACTCGCTGACGCGATCTAAACAATCATTGTAGAGCTTTTCAACCAGGAGATCCCTGATTGGGTCTACCGGTTTGCCATTGCTGTCGTAAATTGTAGTCTCAGCAGTAAGGGGATGATATGGTATGCCCAGCTGACCGCGGACAATCACGTTCAAGGGATTGCCGCGATCAAACCCCGTGATAATCATGCCGCCCATCTCGGCGGTATGTCTCTTTCCCTTGAATTCAATTTCGCTCTCGGCTGTTCTCGTTTTGAACTCTCGAGAATACACTCTTCCTCCAACACGACCTCTGCCTTCGAGAAGAATCACCTTGGGTGGCTCTTCACCTCTTGCGTAGAAGTGGCCAGCGTGCTGCTTAAAGAGACCATCTAGCTGCCTGGCGCAGGATAAACCTGAGATGCCTGCTCCGATTACAGCAACAGTCTTTCGCTTCTTTGTAGGGGGCTCGTTCCTGAACTCAGATTGGGGTTCAGGAAGCTGCACGCAGCCATAGTTTATGTATCCACGACGGATGAGCCAGTCGTAACACACGTTCGCAGCATCGAACCAGCGCGCATTAGCACATCCGACCGCCTCGTGCCGTGTTACACCGACCGATGGCTGCTTCATCCATATGCGCAGTATGCCGTTTCTGATATTCAGGTATGTCGTGACTTGAGAGTGGGATATGTGATGCCGCAGGAAATGATACTCTTCAGGATGGAGCGCGTACGGATTCAGCCGCGATGACTCGGCCGCAGCGATGCACTCGCTGGCATATTGATAGGATGGAATGTCTGTCGGGACAGATGCTTTCGGCCGAACGTTGAAGGTCAGACGCTCAATATCATGGCGGTGCGACGATGCCGAAAAACTTTGTGCCGCCCTAACAACCTGCGGGCGACTGGGTATTTCAGTCTCGACAGGTGTCGTAGCCTTACTAGAGACGATTGAAGGAGACGACGATGCGTCTGAAAGTTCTGTTAGGGAGGAATGCGAAGAAGAGAACGACTCAGCAATGGGGTCGTCTGTGGGTTCGAGTGGTAACGGGCTATCATCGCGGTGCTGATGCTTCTCATCGCTACCCAAAGATTGAAAATAATTAGAAAAAACCTTCAACAACCAAGTATAAACAAAAGGTAAGGGGGAAAAAAAGAAGAAAAAAATTTCCAACAATGTGAATTTTCCTTTTCTTTTCTTAGGGTGGCGGCGGTCATAGACTCACTCCGTGTCAAGATGCATGCCAGAAGAATCTTCTGGGTCATGGGTGGACAGGCTGCTGCTGCTCAAATCCATATCTTCCGTCCACACAACAATCTCGGGTGCGACCTCTGAAGACTCATCCGACGAGCCCTGCCCCGATACCTGGGGATAGCTAAGACTGCTGCTGGGCGACGCCGGTATCTGGTACTGGCTCTGGCTCTGGCACTGGCTCTGGGTGACAGACTCCGGCGCTAAGCTTGATATTGGCGACGAGGAGTCGACGTCTTGCGGGTGCGCAAAACTCGGCCCAATCGGCACTTGCTTTTCTAGACTGAGATGATTCTCGACAACAGTTGCCATGGCGAATGGCCTGACCAGGCACCTGCTCTGACAGCGATTGGGTAGGGTCGGTGTCGATATGTGAGAGGCTACGGATGTCGGGTTGGAGACGGGATCATCGACGACGACACTCGGCAGTATGACAGTCATACAGCATGACGCTGGGCAGACGCATCATATGATGAGGGAGCCTGCCATCAAAAATGTCTGTCTGGTCGGGTTGTCAGCCAAGAGACCCCCATTGCTCTCACTCGCGGTGTATATACCTATTTTGTAAGCGGAACAATAAGTCGTTTGGAGCTTCACTGGCTAAGGAGTGTATCTAAAGGAGTAGCGGCTACAAGGCTGTGGTGCAAGTCCAAAATGGGCCACTGTCATCGATTGTCGGACCATTGAAGGTTTTCAGGCTGGAATGAATCAAGTTCAAACGGCACAGCGGCCAGTATTTTACTCCAAGGAAGGGCCAATGAGCAGGAAATAATAGAGCCATCAGCTCATCGCGGCCCCTCAAGAACGCCGAGTTCATCGCATAGGCACGGGTCACGTGAGGCAAGCAATCCAATCGCGACGCTCCCTGGTGTGGGGCGCGCTCTAATGAACTAAGTCCGCCAGTATCTCGCGAGGAATCAACTTTCAGACCACTGATGCATCAGCGACGAGGCAGCTCGATTAAGATTCAAAAGGGAAGAAAGGAGAAGAAGAAGAAACGCAGTCATGCCAGGCCTTGACCAAGACGCTCTCACGCCCCACGAGAATAAACCCCCACCAACCAGTACGCCGTCAAACTCCAAAACATCGTATGCGACTTTGATAACCTTGAGCCTACGGGCTGTTGGGCAGCACCGCCTCCTTGCGCGCGAACGCTTCTTTCTCGATTGCAGCGTCCATCATCCGGTTTCCGCTAATTATAGAAGTCGCACAGATGACGATATTTCTCCGACCTGAAAAAAAGAATATTAGCCGTGAGCACTGGGTAGACGCCTACCACGCCTCGATATCGCTTACCTTCTTCTTGCTTCGCGATAAATCTCAACGCGGCAATCTCGGTAAATGTGACTCCTCCGATGAAGACCACAAAGACTGTCTGCTTTTGTCCGCTGCCGGACAAGAGGGCCCTTGCCTTGACCGCCTTGTCTTCGCCCTTCTGAAGCTCATAGAAAGTCTGCCCTCGAACATGCTTGACAGCTTCGTCGAATCCTTGCCATCCTTGCGTTCCTGCTCCAGGGGCTCCGCCACCAGAATTCGCTGAGACGTTGCCCTTCGTTATAGACAGCAGGTACTGTTTCTGAAGTATGCATTGTACAAGTCGGATCGAAAGAGGGGCATAGCCGCTGTACACGTATGCGATGTCGTTGGGATCGTCCTCTTGCACTTCATCGACAATCAGCCGTAGCTGCTTTCGTAGATACGTGTAGTTGGTTTTGTTTCCATCAGCACCAGAATTGCCTGCCATGGGGATCATACCCGCAAGCGGAGATGAGCGCGATAAGAATAGTTGCAGCTTCTCCAAGTTGTTGAGCGTGAGGAGGTGCTGATAGCCATACCCTTGAAGTATTAGGCGTTTGAACTGCTCCAGGTCCTTGGGCTTGATACCCCCAGATATGCACGAGTATATACAGAGCAGCCGAAGCGTCTCTCGTATGGGAGCGTCTCTGGCTATCAGCTCTTCAATGCCGTCGAATTGCGACGATGGATCGGCACCGGCAGCTAGATTCTGCTGGACCTCGAGAAGGCCCTTGAAAAGATCTGTCCGCGTGTGCTTGATGATTTCCTCGGCGAGACCGGTGTGTATCCTCGCGCTCTGATGTTCTTGTTGGTAGCCGGGTAGTTGGCCCACAAATTCCTTGAGCTCGGCGATCGTCTTGGTCTTATGCTTGCTCTCGTAATCAGTTTGGACCTTTTGTAGGCGTCTTGCGACCTTGTTGAGTAGCCCGCCCACGATGGCAAAATTTGCATTGCGTAGCTGCTCGTATAGTTTATCGCTGGAGTCGAGCTGGACCGTCCGTTTCCTGCTCTGCGTTGTGGCTGCGGAAGACTGCGCCGGTGCTCCCACAATGGTCGTGTCAACCTTGGCCTGGTTATTCTGAATTTCAAAGATCTCATCGATGAGGCCCTCATATGTTAGCTGCGTGAGCAACGGGGTGACAAAGTCGACTTCACGATCGATAATTATGACGCTCTCGTTGGTCGTGCTGGGTGTGAGTGCTGTCTTGACGTCGCTTCCATCCTCGCCCGCCAGCCGCTCTTGACGCATACGAACGAGGAGATCAGCCACGCGCTTCGCATTGTCGCCTTTGCCGATGATCCTTGGGAACAAGCCATGGTTCTGCTGCACCTCCATGAGCGCCTTGGCCATGAGAAAGTTTGGAGTAACATCTTTGGACAGGTAGAGGTCCTTGAAGGAATCCTCCAACTCAAGCGATAAGACGTCATCTTCAAGCGGGAAAAAGAGCAGTGGTAGCTCGGATATGTTGACATCGCCGAGAATGCCAGCTTCCTCGAGCAGTTGGTCGGACACAAGGGTGCGCCGGGGCACCCAGAATATGTGGAAATCATGAGTCGTCTGGCTTTCCCGCTGAATTCGTTTAATCTGAGCTGTAGAGGCACATGCGCGTCAGCTCACCCAACCTGGACAAGAACTACAGCGGGTAGCTAGTAGTTCTGATTTCGATTTCACGCAGACGATGGCAGCCATTCGATGTGGCCAGTGAGAGCTGGTCATCACACCATATCGCACCGCACCGCATCTGATCTGAACCGCAACCCGTATCTTACCTGCTATGGCCTCTGCATGTCGACCGCATTCCCCACGAGCCACAAAGACGACATTGCGCTGGCTCGCATCCACGTTGTTATTCTCGAGAATGAAGAACTTATCGACGCCATACTCTTGGAGCGTAGCAACCTTGACGATTGTGCCGATGGGGCCAACCAGGCTGCGGTCAAACACGAGGTTCTTCTTGCCGCGGACCTAAAGAAGCGTCAAGCTGTGTGTTTAGCAGCCGGGAAGGTCCCCAGACAGAGACAGTGAGCCTTACTTACACCCTCGAGCAGGTAGAGCAGGTCCTTGCGCGCTTTGCCCCGGATTTGCTCGGTGCTGAATTCCGCGCGCGGAGCCATGATTGCTGGCCGTGCAAGCGGGGAGCTCGTGGGGGTTTTTGGATGAGGCAGCTCGAGAGCTCTACTCTAGTGGCAGGTTGCACGAGATGGCGAGGTGTGGCTCAACTCGGCCCCTTGTCAGCGGGCGGTGAAGCGCCGGCGGGGGGCCCCGCAGCTTGCGGCTTTAGTGACTGTGGCCGCTACAAGTTAGCAGGTTGGTCGATGTGTGTAGAAGGCAGAGGCAGAGACCGAGCGACGACGTCATCTGTACCAACCCTTTGGGCACATGTCGGCAGATGGAGGCCCGTCATGCCATGATGAGAATTTTTCCCTTTCCGACCATCACAGAGGCAAAAGAAGAGGAAAAAGGACACTGGTGACAGCAGAGATGCAGTACAAATCCTTAAGCAGAGAAATCAATTCTAAAAACTCTGAGTACCTTATACGTAAATGCATCTTCTAGGTTGGGAAAACAAGGTTACATGCGCTTTCCTCTCCAACCGTTGCCCCAGTTGCGCCGTGCATGCGCCCGATGCCTTTTGCCGTCGATTTTGTGTGAGGAGGCGACGTGAGAATAAAAAAACACACCGCCCCGTGAAACTGCTGAAGGAAACCATAAAAGAAAAGGAAAAGGAAAAGATCGCTTAGCCTCGAGAATCAGCAGAAGAGAGCCTCAGATTGCCATAAAAATGCCTGTTCCTGTATCACATTTACGTGATTGTAAAACGCCGATGAGCCCTCGCGGCTACTGAAACAATGCAAGAATCCACCAAGAAAACCAAGAACTAAAAAAATAAAAGGCCACCCTTATAATCCATAAAGATAAGATCGTTACACGGTGTTGTCGTGGTATAAGAATTCTATGTCTCGGGGTCGCTGCTTGTTCCCGCGCACAAACTCTTCGTCGCCAGGTGGTCGCTCGTTCTTGTTGTTGCTCGTGAGCATGCTTTGTATGCTCATGCAGACGCTCTCCGCGCTTTGGACCGGGCTCCATCCTTGGTTCCCCAAAAGATCAAGACATATTATTCCGTTCGAGTAGATGTGTGGATGCATGGGCACTGGGCGGGCTGGTCCGTTTACAAAGGTGACCTCGGGGGGTTCTTGAAATGCCTGTTAGACGACCGATTCCATGGCAAGTAATGCGGGGAGCTGGCAGAACAGGATTACCTATAGGATAAGAATCGGAAAAGACGAATTTCAGCTGGTAGATGTTGCCGTTATATAGAGGGTTGTTATCCAAGACGCGAATATCAAAGAGCCATTCTTTCAAGTCGTTGCCGTCTACGAGCTCGATGCCAGGAGGCAGGCCGAACTTATCAATCTGCCCATGGTCAGCGCTTAAATCTTTGATACGAGCCTGGTACCGGCATGGGAGTGGGCGAGGGAGAAGACGAGGTAAGGATGTACCTTCTGACGCTCCTTGGCCACTCGTTTTGTTCGCATGCTCGTGGCCATTCTGTCTGTCGAGGGAGGATCCGTAGAGAGGCGCCAAGCAGAGCAGATAGCAATAACGAGTCGGTGTTTTGTTTGGGTCGAACAAGCAAGGCTTTCCAGAGGTATGGAGTAATATGTACTAAGAGGTCAAGTCGGAGCGGCAACCTGGCGGGCTGTTTTAAATGCGTCGGAGGGGTCCGAGGCAGCTCAAGTGTGGCGCTCGCGTAGGCGCAGCAGCTGTGGAATGGGAACAGTGAACCAACTGCCAAAGTTTAGCGCATGCAGCCTCTATGTGGCGGCCCGGGACTATTGAACCACCAGCGTCTGCAGTGAATGTTTTGCGACACGGATATTGAATCGAGTCAACTATTGCTTCATACAAGCAAAACAATTATCAGACTTCGCACGCAGCCATTCTGTGCCCAACCGCATAGGAGTCTTACCAAGGATGCTATTGTCCCCGTAGGACTCGAGGTCACCGGAGCAGCATAGTAAGCGCTTGTCGACGCATGCATCTTGTGCAGAGTGCAGGCCGACCAGTAGGACCGACTTTATATATATGCAAGATTTCGGGATGCCGTAAAGTATCGAATGAGATTTTGTATAAGGTAGATGCTGTACAGATAATACCTGCTTATTCATTTATATGCAGGCTTCATACAGCGCCGTTTTAACTATTCCTTTCCTAAACATTTCCAACAACGCCACGCATGCCTTTTCAGTTTCGAACACCAAGTCAAAGGGCTGCTCTGGTATTAATGATACCACATGGGCTTGATTTTCTAAACCTACCTAGGTATCACTAACCTTTGCCTAAAACCGCGGATCCAACTTTCATCCTCCTCGAAATCACTTGCCAGTCACCAGAATCAGGTTCAAGAATAAGCGTCTGCACCGACGCGAACCAATTCTTAACCACAACAATACGGTGCAAATTAACAAATACCAACTCTTGATTAGGCGTCAAGGCCGCCATGGGACGCCCATATGTCTCTGTCCATTCAGGCAGGAGGAAAAAATGGCGCTTCGCAACGCAAGTAGATGGAAAAGTCTTTAGATCCAGAGTACAAACCCAAGAGTTGTAATCCACAAAGATCAGCGTCGTCTGGAAGACGAAGAGGATATCTTTAAGGACGTTCGTTAGACGCTGTAAACCAGGATACGGTGTGATGGTGACAGGATCGTCGGAAGTGGCGAATTGGGACGAGTTCCAGCAACTTATTTTATTTCCCTCTAGAGGAAATACCAGGTTCTCTACGTAAATGCCGTTGCCTTGGAAATGAAGAGTATTTGTTGGCTGCGAAGAGGTAGCATCTCCTTGTCGTAGAATCTCCAGTTGTTGGCTTTTATCCGACTCGACATCGTCCCAATGGAGTAGGTGGACAGAATCATCTTCGAAAACTATAAACCGAGAGGAATCCGACGGGCAATTATGCGCGGCCCGTATTTTGGTCTTGTATTTTGGTACGTCCCTATAGGTGATCAACTTTCCGGAAGGCAGTTCTAGCATCGTGGAATTCATCGTTGTCATGATGAGTAGGCGGTCTTGAGCAGGGCTGACGAGCAACTGCTCAATCATATGACGGTCAAGGTCATAATGGGCTACCACGGTAGCCTTCGTCCACCGGCTTGGCGAGCGGCTTGACTCTAAGATCGTTACAAGGCCACGCCAGTTGCACTTGATTACCAAGTCTTCACTCTCTCGCTCAGCGACTGTAATTCTGCTTATCACTCTTGGGACTGGAGCTCGATGAATGATACTAATCACAGAGCCGTCAACGGTTGAGAATGTCCATATTTCTCCATGCTCATTCCCACATATAGCGGTGGTCCCATCCTGGGATAAAACCATAGCTGAGATCTCGCCTCGCGTCTCTGGTGTGGATGGCTGCTGTGAATCAAGCAACGAGGTATTGTTATACTTATTGACTGGCCGAGAATTGACGAATTTATAAAGAGACCGAGAAACATCCCAAATATGACATTCAGTGAGATGTATACTGGCAAATCGGAGTCCATCCTTGGCTGTAGAAATCCTGGATATGACTTTGTGGGGATAATTGGTGCGATATATAACACTGAGGTTAATCGAATCGATATCTAGGCCGAGCTCGTATACTTCTATAGTGTGCTTATGGGCTGCAGCGCTTTGTGTTCCCACGATCAAATGTCTGCCATTCGCGGACCAATTGAGGACATGCGCTGACACGTGCGGCAGCATCAGGATTCTTGACATTGTCCGAGTGTCAAATGCTGTCAAAGACCCGTTAACATGTGAAATGGCGAGAATATCGTGCCGGGGGTTGAATTCCATGGCCCTGATAATGCTGTCTTCATGCGCACAGCATGTTCCAAGCAAATCAGAGCCATCGATATCGAACAAGTAGACGTCTTTGGTATGAAATGACGCAGCCAGAATATTAGGAGAAGACTGGGAGAAGGCAACATGTTGAAGCCTATATTCTTCCCATGGCCAAGGTTTGGAGGCTGTGGAGGACGGTAACCACTTGCGAGATCTTGATTCGGAGGTCGAAAAGTTCCTATGGCGCACCGTCAATAAACCAAGTCTAGATAGCTTCAATACGCGCGAGTAAAATTCTCACCTTGAAATCACGCTGCCATCCTCTAGAACGATATGCAGGTCGTCACTTTCAAGATGAATTCTCTGGGGCGAAGAACACGCTATGCGGTGAAGTTCAGAGCCAGTCTTAACATCCCAAATCGACACCGTCCACCGTCCTAATGAAACAAGATGTATATCTTGATTGCTAAATTCCAACTGCGATGCTCTGGAATCTGGGTGTACGAGGCTAACATGAAGTTGCATGGAAGCAGAGTCGTATACGGCAATCTCGCCATCGTGCAGACCAATGGCGAAGTGTGCCTCTCCATAGCCAACAGAATGGACCTCTTGGTCTGTTGGAATTCGTAGAAGACGGTCGTCCCAAGTCGGATCCCGTGTCCCAGAAACAGATATAGTCGACGGGGGAAGAAGCGCGCTTTGAGAAATCACCGAGGATGTGGGACATAGCTGGGGGATGAGATCGTGGATGATAGAAGGGTCGAGAAGTAGCTGATCACGAAAGGTAAATACCACCCGAGATAGATCGATTATCCAGGATTTGAGTGCTCGGAATCTGTCTGGTATTAAATCATGCATTTCTTCGTTGATGTAGTGTGCTAGATCTATGGAGGTCCTTGGAATAACTGTAACGAGAGATTCCGAAGCAAGGTACTCTATCCAAAACAGGGTTTTAGTATTGAGAAAGCCAACGACTGACTTGAAGAGCTTGGGGCTATTGTTATCCGCCTCGAGTAGATGTTGCGAAAATGATGTCGCTGCATATTTGAGAAAGAATGCGGTTGCATTTTGGTGTGCACTGTTGACCCCCAGCTCTGAAGTTCCAGACGGATGCTGGAATTGAGCTTCCAGATATGAGATACATAGACCGGCAAAGCGACTATGGCCTTGGCAGCGTGGAATGGCTAATGGAGAGTCGAGACCTTCGCTGAGGAAAAAGTCTCTCGCTGTCTCGTGTACAATCTGAACTCTATTCCTGTGATTGATGGTGACAAACTGGCTACACGCGCGCATAATGACCTGGTCCATCTTGTGTAAGTTCTGACCGAGCTCGTACTGCATCGCGTGGCACAGTTCATCCAACGTCATTGGCCTGACTGCTAGGACGACGAAGAATAAGATGCTCTTTGCGACTTTAGCCCTTCGTCGTTCGTTTTGGATAGTGTGAAGGATTCTTTCATACATTTGATATAAATCGTAGGGGATGTCGTTTATAATTTCTTCGACGTCTTCGTCAGTAAAGGCAGTTTCGAGTTCTTGTAACACTAGACGAATCCACAGGAAGGAACCTGACGCCTTTTCAACAAGTTTTGGCTCAAGTCGGGTGATATCATGGAGAGATAGTAATTTTAAGCCTGTGTGGATAACTGCTTGTATATCCGCAGCTGTTCCAATTCTGTCAGCACGTCTTATTCAGGCATCAATCGAGATGCGAGGTATATGAGATACTGACCTGTGTCAGTTATGGAGAGATGGTAAGGAACAGCACGGGAGCCTATAGAACTAATGCCGCGTTCAATCTCTGGAGTATTCCTGCTAGTAACAAAGATTCGAATAGCATCGGGGATCTGTGATGCTAGTTTGAAAAAGGCCGAGACAGTTGCGCATTCATCCAGACCATCAATCAGCCAATAATGAGGTGACTTGAACCGAATTTGGAAGATACCATCGACAAACAGCTTCCGCCATATAGATTTTTCATCATGTAATTGCCAGGAAATAGAGTTATCTTGTAGCTTGAATATTCGCCGCCTCACTGCTGTATCATTCAATGCCATCTGGTAGGCCATATGAAGCAAGAAGGGTCCCAGCCCATTGCTGTTTGCCTGTCCCTTGCGAAAGAAGTAGTACTCGCAACAGGCATCTTTGGCTCTTGTAAAATCAACCACATGGCCGAATATGATTGATTTTCCAGCCCCTGGAGGCCCTGTCAGCCATAGGATTGGAGGTGTTGCTGATATCTCGGGCTGCTTGTGGAAATCCAGCCATTCCGCAAAGACGATATGCTCCGTAAACCAGACACATGATCCTGGCAATTTCGCGTTTTGGCAGTTAAATAAATCGTCTTGGTAAGAATCGTCGGTGTTCAAATATTGTTCGAGCCTAGCTCTTGATGCTGTAACGGAATAAGGCTCGTCTTTTCCGAGTTAGTGATGGATATGCGTTGCGATATTGGAACGGGTGTTGATGCAAATACCTTTTAGCTGGATCATATCCACAGCTCTACTTAGGGCATTTCGCACTTTTCTATAGTTTGGATCTTCTATGGCACCGAATTTACATATGTGGCGGTGGTCAGCGTCCAGAGGAAGTACTTCTTCATGGCTGTATCCAAGCGTAGCGGAGAATTTATCCACCAACACGATCGCAGGGCGCTCAGTTACTGGACGAGTCTCAAAGAAAGACCATATATGTAGATCTTCAGCATAAGGTTGAAATAGCGAATTGAGCTCAGTCAAATACGCCGAGTTTGCGGAGAGATCGTCAAGATAGGGTTTCGAAACACCCATGACCTGGAGAATGTTTCTGGCGACCTTGGCCAGATTGGATCCGCGATGAGGAGTGCCTAGGAAAATGATGGAATGAAACCGCGAGGCAATCTCGTCGTGGCCTTGCTTAGCTAGAACATACGCTGCCTTGGCGATGTTTCCGCCCATACTGTGTCCTATGAGAATGAAGTTGGTCTTGCTTCGCCTTATCGAAGGGTGATTCTTCATCTCTCCCAACAAATCCTGGCCAAAATCATGAATAGATAGAATGCTCAGATTTCGGTCTCGCCAATTTGCATCATAGCCAAACGAATGAATGCGTGCCGTCTTGAAGCTTGGATCATTGGGGAGCCAATCCCGTGGCCAGTAACTCTCAGCATCACGGGATCCTGACCAAGTCTTCTTGGAATCCCCTCCCAGTCCATGGACGAAGATGACATCTACCAGAGCAATCTCTCCGGGATCATACAACGTGTTTAGCCCCATTGGTCCTTTGGGCCTGGAAATGCTGACTGGGCGCTCATGTCTGCGTCCAAACTTGGCGAAGAGATGGGCACGGAACGAGCCAAGGGATGATCCGCGGGCTTGGTCTGTGTCTGCTGGAGGGTGTTTGGGCGCGGTTGTATCATGGTTAGCGAGGGTTTGATCGGATAAGCTTTGGCCACGCGAAGTAGACTTTGCTGTTGGCTCCAAGTTGGCTTTCGATTGGAGCGTTGGGTTTAGCTCAGTAGCTGTAGACTTCAATGCCAGCGCACTGGTAGTTGAATCGTTCTCCATGACTGGAGGTCGTTACTCGCCTGGATCTGTATTATTATTTCCACGAGAGCGAAGATTTGAATCTTGAAAACAACACTTTCCAGCCTAATGAGAGTCCTGCAAGCAAGTACGAATAAGCGACCAAGGGTCAACAACCAACAGTCGCTGGTATCACAGGCATCTCCACCTGGGCGGTTCTATGCGACGCGTGATGGGACGGACCATGGGGTGGTTCGTCAAATCCTGGCCTGACTACGCAATTGTTTATGAATTCTCCCCTTTATCTCTTTTGATCATAAAACCATTGGATTTGAAAGAAAAATGTTTTGATGCCAAGTACAGGTACATCTTGTACTGCCTTATAGAAGTACGCCTAATGTCAATGCTTAAGACGACTTATTGCGCCAGATACATACATGCATGTACCTAAATCTCAGCCCGGCGTCCTCAACTCAACAAGGTCATAATAATCGGCAGGCATATTAAATAATCAAGCATTCACATGGATCAAATGGTAACATACTTGCGCCTGTTTATACAAACCCATCAAATGCCGTCCAAGTCTGGAAAGAGATTCAATAAGCTCCGTCATCCGTCCACGCACGCGACCCGCTCTGAGGCCGCTCGTTATGGTGCTTGTTACCACATGCAGTATCAAATGTCCTCCTTGGCCCGACTGACTTGTAGGAACGGCCCGGTAATCAGCCTTGCAATAAGCCGTAGTGCGTTTGAGCCCTTGGATGAATCGGCAACTGCTTCTTGGCAACATATCGGAAAGGTGACGGAGGCCGCCTACTCGCCATGTTCTCGGGCGTGGGCCAATGTCTCAAATCCAACTGAGAGCCCAACGCATCTGTATTGGCATGTTTGCTGGTTGGCTGCTTGGGAACGGCCTTGTCCGGATGCTACCAGAACTGAGCCGCAGCCCAGCATTGTGGTCTTTGCTGTCTGGTTCGTGGTTCGTCTGAAGCACAGTGACGTTTACCGACAGCAGGGCGTTTTGTGGTGAAAACTCGGACCAGACGAGATGCCCGGCTTGCACAGCCACAAATCAGCCGTGCGACGAGAATTGCTGATGCCTTGCTACTGGCTAGAACTGCCGACCTGTGCCTGTATGTAAACAGGGTTCTTTTGAGTGGTAAGAGTAATGATGGGTAAGAGTACATGTCGTTTTGCGTGTGGGGGGGTCATCTAAGGAGCCCAATGTACATTTGATGCCTTCAAGTTGACAGTAGAATAGAGAAGGGCATATACTACCTACCTGTACGCAACCACCAGAGTACCTAAGCTACAACCAACTTATTTACTCGACTATATTTACATCACTTCAAGTATCTATTTAGTTCTAATCTATTCCAGTCATTATGCGCGCATATGACCATTTACTTCGAGTTTGTCCAGAGACTTTCCATTTCAACCTGGATGAGTAACGGTGAACTCGAAATAGAAGCAGCAAGGCGAGAGAGAGGCCTTCAATGCGTTAGGGGTGCCCCTCCAAGCCCTCCCTTTCAATATCCCCCCTCCATGTACCCACGGCCGTTATTTAGTATGTAAGGATACATGTACATGGCCAGTACTTGTTGGCCTCTGACAAGCACCGTCCACACCTTTGGTCGGCCCAGAGTCGCGATACCTGCAGGCCCTATCCACATGCAAATAGCCTTACTTGCTAGCAGCAGGCCATGGATCGTCCGCCCACCCTTTTTCCCTCCTGGCCTAATACCTCCATGTTATCCATATGTATCTCCACTATGCAATGCTAGTACGAGTACCTGTACATACATGTCCTAGTGCCCCTATGGCTGACAGCCCGGCTGGTGAGGGGCTAGCATGGGAACTTAGCAGGTATTTACTGTAGACGGTCGTATTTAATCTCAGCCGTCGCATGTAGCTCCTTCAGCTGCCTCTTGCTCTGCTCTGCTCTGCTGTCCTGTCCTGTGGCTGTCGTTTCCTGGCCGCTGCTTCTCTCCTGCTTCTCCCGGGCTGCCTCTTGGCCTGTTTAAATCACGTCCTCGCTGTATCTGCGCTTGTCAGTTGAAGCTGTGCTCGAATCGCAAACTTGGCTTGAATACCGCTCCTCGCATCCCAGAGATACCCCGCCAGACTTCAAGATGAGTTGTAAGTCGCGTTTCTTACACCGCCGCCTATGGAAAGAGACAATGATGTCTGCGAGGCCAGCAGATACATATTGGACTTCTGCCGCATTCGCTTCTCTCCCTAGGCCAAGTTCTGTTACATGCTGGTTGCTAACGAGTGCCGCCTCCGAATCTAGTCGCTGGCATGCTAAACCGCCTCCATGGCCAACCCGAGAGCTATGAGAAAAAGTACGATATATACCTGAGATAACCGACATGGAATGATCCAACGTTAACGGCTCGATGTTATAATACAGATCAAAGTACAAGTTCGGACGCACCCTTGGTGCTGGCACCTATGGTGTCGTTCGTGAAGCAGATGGCCCTACCGGCAAGGTGGCCGTCAAGATCATCCTGAAGAAGAATGTCAAAGGCAATGAGCAGATGGTCTACGACGAGCTTTCCATGCTGCAGCGACTAAAACATCCTCACATCGTCAAGTTTGTCGATTGGTTTGAGTCCAGAGTGTGTTGGTTCTACATACTTCGTGGGATATTTACAAAACCTGCTGACCACAGCTGCGCCTATAGGACAAGTTCTACATTGTCACTCAGTTGGCCACAGGAGGAGAGCTCTTTGATCGTATCTGCGACAGGGGCAAATTCACCGAGAAAGACGCCTCTCAAACAATCAAGCAAGTTCTCAACGCTGTTGACTACCTGCATAAGAATGATGTCGTTCACAGAGGTGCGAAATGTTCCTAGGCGTGACACAAAGCGAAGCTGACATGATGTGTGCAGATCTCAAGCCCGAGAACCTCATCTATGTGACTCCCGACGACGACTCCGACCTTGTGTTGGCCGATTTCGGTATTGCCAAGACCCTCGATAGCAAGGACGAGACACTTAAGACCATGGCCGGCTCTTTTGGCTACGCAGCTCCCGAAGTCATGGCCAAGCAAGGGCACGGAAAGCCAGTGGACATGTGGTCTATGGGTGTCATTACTTATACCCTGCTCTGTGGCTACTCTCCTTTCCGAAGTGAGAACCTGCAGGATCTTCTTGAAGAGTGCACCAGAGGAAATGTCATCTTCCATGAGAGATACTGGAAGGATGTCAGCTCCGATGCCAAGGATTTCATCAACTGTCTCCTTGTCCCAGAACCCAACAAGAGATGGACCAGCGAGGTACCATGCCATTCCCCATTGCTACACACAAGACACGACAGATAGGCTAACAAAACCACAGCAAGCTTTGGGTCATATCTGGTTGAGTGGCCAGACCGCCAGCGACCACAACTTGTTGCCAGAAATCGAGGCCTTCCGAAGACGCTCCCGCCTCCGTCGCGCCATCGAAATTGTCAAGCTGCAAAACCGAATCAACAAACTCCGAGAGCACGAAGAAGACCCCGAGAACTCTGAGATGGGAGACGCATCAGCTGGTGATGATAAGAAGGATGGCGCACGATTGCATGCCCTTGGTCTCTTTGCTCTCAAGGATGTCAAGCAGAAACAGGAGACGTTGCAAATGGAGGAGGAAATGGGAAAGGAGGCGAAAAGACGTAGCTTTACCGAGAATTAAAAGTCTCGAAAGAGGAGGATTGCGTTCAGCAACTTTTTTTTTGCATATACTTTTGGTCTTTCCATTATCATTTGGGGTTACCCAAATATGAGATTTCCTGCTTGTTTTTTCTCTCTCTCGCCAGTAACTAATTATTGAATGATGCTTTCAACAACACAGAAATATCAATCATCATAGTTGCAAATTACGTTGAGGCAATCGAGGAATTTTTTTTTTGGCAATTTCCTCAATACTCAATAGCATGCATGCTTCTTGAAGTAATTCTTTGTCCTTTTATTCTATCCTGTCCAATGTAGATATCTATCCAGTTTCTCCGTGAGTCCTGTCATAGCGAGCACACATGGCTCACTTTCCAATATCTATCCATGCCCTTCGCCGCAGCTCCAAAAGCACTAATAAACATCAAAAACCCAGATAGCTCAAAGTGAAACAAGACCAAATGCAATCAAACAATACAAATGCAAAAAGTCCAATCAATAAACGACAACAGAACACCAGTATTTTAACTTTTTGCTTCGCTTTTACTTTTTACTTTTTTTCCTTTTCCTCATTTCTTGCCTTCAGACAATATCCGCCATGGCACTCTCCCGAAGGGCTTCATACCGTCGGAAGTCGAACCGCTGTCTCTTCCAGCCGTTGGCCTTGAGCCGCTCGATGCGCGTGCGCAGTTCTAGAGCGCGCATCTCCTCGCTGAGGATCTGGGCAGGCTTGGGATTCTCTGCAGCGGCAATGTCGCGCTCCAACCATTCCAGGTGAGAGGCGATTTGGCGCTGCAGGCTCGAGAGCACTGTGCAGTAGTGGTGGACAGAGCGGGCGTGGAGAAAGCTGTCTGCAGTGGTAGGGGTATCAAAATAGCTGTCGTCGTCGTCTGGGACAGCGCTGAACTCGGAGTTTGTGGGAGAAGGGAGTGGGAACTGTGGCCTTCCGGGGCCGAGCTGGACGGGCTGCGGGTAGAGGGCCGGAGGTTCAGGGCTGGGCTGGCGGAAACCCCAGTCGTCGTCGAAACCAAGGGTGGGAGAGTCTGGACGAACCAGGGGCTCATAGCTAGACTCGTAAGATGGCTCGCATGATGGCTCATAAGAGGGTACATCGCAGAAGGCGACGCGCTTCTTTGGCTTGGGCCGGCTGTTGCGGCCCTTCAGACAGCTATCCAGGGAGCTGATGGATAGTGAGGGAGAGGAGTTTCGTGTAGAGACTGTGGAGACCGAGGCGTCTGAACCAAAAGGAGTGTGAAGGCTGGACATTGGAGAGAGAGAGCGTGATGAGGGGCGTCGCTTAGCAGCCTCGTCCTCTTTGATGAGATCGGCGGCGACGCTATAGTGGTGGCGAGCTTGGTGGAGGAGCTTCGTCCTGTAAGGAGAGTTGTGCTGTAGGGAGCGCACTTGCATCTCGAGAGCAGAGGCGGCATAGAAGCGAATGTAGATGAGGCATGCCGTCTCTGGCTTGTTCTGGGAGGCTATCGTGTTAGTGAAACCGTAACAAGGGTCTTCCCTTGGGAATGTGCATTGTATCTTACCGAGTCTTGCATGTTATCGAGAAGCTCATTACATCGCATAGCGCATTGCCGATGTTTTCGATTGGCAAAGTCCCTCTTGACCTCAGCTAGAGCTTTCTTCCATTGTGCAGGCGTTGTGGGAGCTGGTTTGGGAATGACGAGAGGCTCAGGAATTACTCGTTCCCGTGTTGTTCGCCTACGCTCCATCTCATGCGTTCTTGGTCTGTACGGTGTTGGTTCCCATGATGTGTAGTCGGACTTATCGTCTGAGAAAGAGAATGTGATTTTTGAAGGTGAAATGAGCGTGCTCATGCGAAGGGGGATGAGACCCGGCATTGTGAAGGAGAGTTTGATTCTTGATGAAGATGATTTCGGCTTTTAGAACGAAGGTTTGCCGTATTGGGTGGACGAGGGGATGTATCGAGAGATCGGAAGTAGTACGTCAAAGAACAATGTCGTAGAAGCGTGGTCGAGATAGGAGAAGTGATGAATAGCCGGAACGTGTATGTATAAGACAACGAATAGCTTTGGAAGAGGAGATAGAGAGCGTGATAGTGGACGATGAAGAGTAGTATGTATTCACGTAAAAGAAACTACTCGGATGGGCTCGAGCCGCAGTGTGAGAGAATTAAGTAGGTATACTCGTTATGCTAATGAGAGGCAGGCAAGGGAAGAAAAGAGTGGCAGAATGCAAGACAGTAAGGATCGAAATTTGGTAGAAACACGATTTCAAAAACCGGTCCACCGAGGGAGGGAGAGACTGCAGGCAGGGCTTTTAAAGAAGGATTGGTTTGCACAACGAGCGTGGAAATGGCGATAACAGTCGAGTACGTGAAGGAGGGTAAAGAAAAAGAAAAAAAAGAGAGAGGGAAAAAAAAGCTCGGGCGCATCTGAGACTGGCAGATGCAACACAGACTCCAGCCGGCATCCCGGGGGTCTCAGAGGGGTTCAGAGTCCCGCCACCACGGGAAAGGCTCTTTTCTTTCTTTTTCCTGCCTTTGAGTTTTCTCTGTCACCTCTGGACTAGGTTCACTTTCTTGCCATTGGTTCAGCGTCTAATTCCCCCCTGCTAACACATCGCGTTATGCCTCTTCTCGCAGCGCTGTTGTGCGGAGTGCCGGTTGGCAGCAATGATGCCCTCGATCTCATTGCTCTCGCAACACCACGACAATAGAGACCCGGGAGCCTGGTGAAAACCCCATGCGGACTGCACAGTAGGTCGTACTGCTAAATCGCACCCGGTCAGTCCCCCTGGTCGCATCCCCTATCCCCCTTGCACAGCAAAATCTAATCCCGGACAGCTGCGGTAGCCGTACCGGTTGGCCGTTCTGGCAGGCTACTGGACGCAGCGCTAACGGGCCTCCCCCTGGATCCCGCTTCCCCGGGCCCTTGCCTGGGAGAAATTGTGGTTCTCGCGGGAATGAGCTGCTGCGGTGAAATTATGAATGACTGGGGATCGAGCGTTGCCCGCGAGCTGTTGTATTAGTCAAAGATGCCAGGCGGGAAATAACTGCAGTTGTGATTGTAATTACCTGGTAGCACCCGGAAAGCAATCCCCCAATTCCCCAGGCATTCATATGTCCCGTGACAAACGTAGCATGTATGCCAAAGGATTCTGGCACCGACTTTGCGCAGGTACGAGGGATCCTTGCGTCGAACCATGGCAGGCTCGACCGTTACGCTTATTCCCAACGGAGCCGCGCTGATGAGACAAATCCCCCCATTGAACCAAGCAGGCAAGGGCTCCTACCGTGTCTCTCTCTCTTTTGGAATGTACGGGTATGCACGGAATACCGTTCCGGAGTGAAACTTTTTTTCCCAAGGCAGTTTCCACCTTCCCGCAAAACGCGTTCTTGCTTCATGATCCAACCTCACAACGCAGAAGGCCCAAGAACCAACAAGTACACCAAAGTCCACCGTTTCGATCAACATCCAACTCCGCGAGGACGGAGTACCTAGTATTGCTTATCCAAAAGAAGAAAGCATTAGAAAATTTTGGAAATGAGTAAAAGCAAAACCACCGGAAGCCGGAACTGGTAACCGCGTCCAAAAGTCACCGGCCACGAATATCCCTGCAGGACAAAGACCGCGAAGTAAGACAAGAGTCTGAAAGCCACACTTTTCTTTTTCGCCTTTTCTTACCAGTATCGGTACATGATGCAACTATAGACGAGTACTCGCACAGCTTCCGATGGATTACCTTAGTACTCGTACCTGTTGATAGCCCGTCCCGTTAGTCGGCCGTTCGCCCAGTCACAGCTTCGTTTCGGCCGCTCCATTTGCCAGCCCTTGCTCGCCGTTCTCTCTTACGATGCAGTCCGTGCTTCTTACTTGGCGCGTTTGGTGAGTGCGGCTTCGTGCTTCGTATCCATCTCAATCTCAGGTGCGAACAACCGACCAAGGGGGCTCCAAACGAGTGCTTTGGTACCTTTGTATTTGCTTCCTGTGTTCTCCGTATCACTGGTGCACAAGCCGTACCGCCTCTCACGGCTCGCGGTCTCTGCGTAACGCTTCGTCCCGCCAACGATGTGTTCATATTAATTACCAGGAACGGCAGATGGGGTATCACATGTGCAAGCAAATTCAGCTCGCTATCTCAGTGTTGGGCTGCTGGAAATTAAGCAACTCATCTTGATGAATCACATCTGCGGAGAATCCCAGGATTTTTGCTCCGGGTGAGATTGAAAATCGAGAAAAACGTGGCGTCCAAGCGGAATCGGTCCATGTCTACCACGGGACAAGCATCAGGGTTATCCGTTTGAGCGTCTATTTAATTAGACATGCCCGTCTTCCGTTGCCCGGGTACCCCGATTTAGGAGAATCGTGGGTCCTTGGAGGTACGGTATATCGCGATTGGTAGCACCAAGTAGCACCAGGTATGTGGATGGCTTCAGTCGCGGTAGGTAGTTCCTTGGAAATGATACTACCCACGCATAAACCGCTCAGCCGATGCCTCTCTACATCATTTCGGATGCTGCCAGATACTCCACACGGAATGAGCCATGGTGGCACCGCCGCTCCAATACCCCGCCATCGTCTGCGAGGTAACGGACTGCTCTTCCTATCGGCCAACCGCAGATCGAGGATCTATCGTGTTGGACTTCCCATTTATCTCCATCACTAGGCAGTCAAGCTAACACGATCAGTTGAGAACCCAACCGCTGAGCTAGTCGTAGAGATCATGTAAATCAGATGGCTGGTTTTCTTATCTTTCTTTCTCTTTGTAACAACAACCAGGCACTCTGTTTATGAGAATACTCTCCATAACCATGCTTTATTTTCGTAGTACTACCTGCTATCTATTGCCTAAAGCGTCATCTCAAATGTCACATCAACTCCGTGACCTAACAGTGCGCTGTGAAAGGTGTTATGACAAGTATAACGTCATTGAATACTTGACAACTTGGTTAGGCCCAACCATGCGGTCGATTTGCTGGTTCCTACCAACTCCAGTCAGAGCTGGGCCCGCGCCGCAGTCATTTTGTAGTTCACTATGAGGCTATCCGGGCATGTTACTCAAATTGCGCCATTGCACGCTATTCCATTCATTCATTTTTGTCAAGATCGTCTATGAAGCCGGAGCTTCTGTCGTAGCTGTGGGGGTAGCATCCGCTGCTGGGGCGTCCTCTGTCTTGGGAGCTTCCTCTGCCTTTGGAGCTTCCTCTGCCTTTGGAGTTGCCTCTGCCTTTGGAGTTGCCTCTGCCTTTGGAGTTTCCTCCTCCTTAGACGCCTCTGCCGGCTTGGCCGTCTCACCCTTGACGCCGCCCACCACCTTGAGGCCTTCGGCTTGTATCGAAATGCTCTCCAGTTCCCGCTTGCGCCGTATTCGGTATTTCAGCTCATCCGTCATGCGCGTTGTGTCTATCAGGACCCCATCCTTCTCGGGGTGTCCATCCTTGAGACCCATCTCCTTGATCTTGACCTTGCCTTGAGCCAGCTCGTCTTCGCCGATGAAGATGGCAAAGGGCACGCCATTGGCTTCCGCAGCCTTGAATTGAGCCTGCATCTTGGGCTTTGCCTTGTATAAGAATTCCGCCTGTAGATGCCCCATTAGCCTCGTCTATTCTGAGAGTTATCAGTGAGAATAGTCTCTTACCTTGATGCCAGCCTGCCACAGCTTTGCGCAGATTTCCAGGCGCTCCTTGACCAGTCCCTTTCCACCCAGAGCCATGACATAGACGTCAACATCGTTGCCGCGCACCTGGTCGGCTGACTTGTCCGCTGCCATCCGGGCCTTGGTGATAGAGAAGATGCGATCGACGCCAAATGAGATGCCGACACATGGAATCTGAGTCTTTCCAGAGAACATGCCGACCAAATTATCGTATCGACCACCAGCAGCGACACTTCCAACGCCGATGGTGGGGTCGTCAGACCGGTCATCATCGTCTCCTTTACCCTTGGACTTCTTCTTGCTTGGCTTTGCGGCATCCTCTGAGCCAGGGGTAGCCTCAGGGGCAGAGCCCTCGGTGACTACCTCGTAGATAAGGCCGGTGTAGTAGTCCAGGCCGCGAGCCAAGCCCAGGTCAAACGAAACCTTGTCGAGGGCGCCAAAGGCCTCAAGATATTCAAACAGGAGAGCAACATCCGCAACACCTTGCTTCATGGACTCGTTTGCCGAAAGCTTCTCATCGTTGCGCAGCTTCTCGAGCAGCTCGTGGCGCCCTCTCAGGACAACCCACTCTCCAATGCGGTCAGCAACATCCTCTGCGAGGCCTTTCTCCTCGGTCATCTCTTTTCGGACATCCGCCCACGGCAGCTTGTCAAGCTTGTCAACTGCAGAAGAGATGGTCCTGATCTTGTCTTCTGGGACACCGCAGACCTGGAAGATGCCATCGAGGATCTTGCGGTGGTTGAGCTTAATGGTGTACGCGCCGTTCCACCCCAGACCCTCAAAGACTTCAGTGATGATGCGAATGACTTCGGCATCGGGCAACATGGCGTCGTAGGTACCAGCGATATCGAAATCGCACTGGTAAAACTCTCGCATCCTGCCCTTGGTCATGGCAGGCTGGTCTCGGCGATAGACCTTGGCGATGTGGTAGCGCTTAATGTTCTGAATGTCCTTGTTCATCGCAAGGAAACGAGCGAATGGGACCGTCAGGTCGTATCTCAGCGAGCAAATCTCGCCACCCTGGTCAGCGAGGTCGTAGATGAGCTTGCTATCCTCGCCATATTTGCCAGACAGAATCTCCTTGAGCTCGAAAACGGGTGTGTCGATGGTAACTCCGCCGTGGCGCTTGAAGACTTCGGTGATGGTGCTGAAGATCTTGTCTCGGATGACCATGTCCTTGCCATTCCCGTGGGGTGAGTAAGCTTGGAGGTTTCTTCCGCCGCGATGAAGAGTCACAACTTACAATCTTTGGTGCCCTTGGCCGTTTTCAGCTCGAACTTTGTCTTGGGAGCCATCCCGGCGGCTGGTGCTTGTGAGTGATAGAGAGAGAGAGTGAAGGAGAGAGGAGTCGCAAGTCTTGTTCTTTGCAATTGCGACAATGGCCGATATGGTCGAAGAGACCTAAATGCAGCCAAAGCAATCTTCATCCGAGGGGGTAGAGGGGAAAATTTAGGCCTGGAGTTGTGGCAGGAGTCATCAGCGCTGTTTAGATGGTGGCACGACAGGCGGGGCAGAAAGTGCTGAATTTTGTTATCGATAAGGAATGCAGTAAACACCGAGTTCTAGAAATGCGTGATCTAGCAACATAACACAATGCAGTAGCTACTTTATTGAGCTTCACATTATGCTGCGCATGAGCGTTATTAGCCGTATGTCGGGGGGGGAAATCTGCCATATGTATAAAATACGAATGGGCGAAAAATCAAAGCAGAGACGACCTGTAAGTGGCAGATGGTCCGCCTTCTCCAGAATACAGGTACGTACCGATATGTAAGTCATCTAGCAGCGCAGCGGAACTAAGCCCATTCGAGAGCAGTGTTGAGATGTTCACCAATTCAGGGTACCAAGGTAACCAGGAACATGAGGAATATATGCTTAATGCTTCGTGATCCTACTTCTTGCTTTTCATCTTTCAATTATTGATCGGTGCTTTATACATTAAGGGGAAACCTCCGAACTCTACAACTCTGCGAGCAGCCTCAAATGCCCCGTTAAACTTGGGGTCGGGAAAGCACCTTCGAAAGTAAAGAGGGCGAAAGGGGACCATTGCTACTAATACTACGTGACTTACAGCCCAAGCGTCTTCTTGCTGCAGTAGATTCAATCCAAGACTGCATGTCTTTGACTCCTAAAGCCTGCTGTTACAAAGGATCGGGTACTGTTACCCTCAGCGAAACGAGCAGCCATGTGGCGCCTGATGAACGGCTTTTCGGGGTCAAGAAGCAACCCGACAGAGTCAAAGATGTCATCTCCCCCGATAGGATGGTGTGCATGCCTGTGTCTTCTGTCACGTCCCCAGTATCCCCGGTACGACTTGGCCAATCTGGTACATGTCATTTCCACTACCGCCTACTTGAAACGGCAAGTATAAGTCTCGGGCTCTGTAACCGAGCTTCTGCTGACTGAAGAATATAGCGCCATTCTCATGAAGCTTTCAAATGGGCCATCTATCGACACAGCGCAGAGATTCAAAGCCACCGAAGTGCTCTGAATGGTATTCATACGTAATCTCAAATTGACCGACCCTTGAACTCCATCATCAACGCCCATCAATCAGTGCTATGTACCACTTGGCGTGATTCCACGTCAGCAGCGCAGAGACATTTTGGGGTGATGCCTGCAGGAAGAACTGTTGCCTTGAGGCGCCACTAATGCTAGCGAGATTCAGGTATGAATACCATTCCTATGCGCCTCACTTTTACGCGTACTACGGGCTATCTATTAGTATGGTAAATGGGACTGCGAACAGAAGAGTTTCATATAAAGACATATATTGAGATTGATAGATAGATACGAGTATTAGGTCGTCGTCGATGGTTCTCCCCCAGACGTGGGTAGCCGAAGGAATTTCGAGAACGAGCTAGCCTGGCTATAATGGGAAATTAAGGACAGCATTTCATGTTAACAAACCTGGACCTAGCCTAACAGCAACTAAGCGTAGCGTTGCAGAGCTGTGCTGCCTGCTGAATGTGCCTCAAATCCTATTGAGCATTTTGATGACTTGTGCACTCTGTCCTTTGCCTTGTAGACCCTACTGCAGATGTGGTCTGATATTGATGATAGTATTCCGTCGAGATGAAGTTTGCAGCTAGCCTAGTATATAGATACAGTGCTTATAGGAGGGAGATAGTGGCAACACTGGCACGCATCACATACCGTCAGCGGATTACACCGAGCATCATAGACATGTGTCGCATCAGATGCAAATCAACCGATCGCCTTCTGCCTGGCATCCAATACAGGGATGACAACTTGTGTACACGTAACGAGACAAACTCAAAATACACACCACATGGGCTGCCTCGTTTTAGCTTCCATTGGAAAGACACCTGGGGCAAACAAAGTATCCACTGCGATTCGCCCGCATTCATCGTTCTCGATTGAATCCATTGATCCGTCAAGCCACCACCTTGAATTAATCTTCCGGGACCCAGAAGGGCCCGAAGCGCGGCCAAGTCCCGCCAAAGTCGTATTCATCGGCTTGTAAGTGGTCAGCTAACCAGGCAGGTCCATGAACATACACCCTGGTACATGTACTTTTGCTTCGCATCATCGCCCGTGCTTCTGTTCCTCCCCATTCTCAAAATCCCATGTAATGCCCTCCGTCTGTCGTCTCTCTTTCATCCGTTTCGGCTCCAACATCCCCGCCGCTTCGTGATGGAAAAGGTCGACGTTGAGAAGTCAGACAGCCCTATAACTGTAGAGGCCGAGAAGCACGTCTCCAACGACGGTGCCGCCACCGCCGAGTCAGCGCAGGGGCAAGCAAAGGCTCGCCCCAAGCGAATAGCTTCTTTCAAGGACTATGTGGTATGTTCCAAACATGCGCAAAGCGACTATAGCTTCTGAGCTGCTAATCACCGCTGATTTCTCACCTTTCACAGCGAGTCTTCCAATACGCAACGAAATGGGACTTTGTCGCCTACGCCGCCGGCGTCATTGCCTCCATTGGCGCTGGCGTCACGTTGCCATTGATGAACGTAGTCTTTGGTATGGTTTCCTTGCGACGTCGCGTTGATGTTTTGTGCATCATTCCATGCAGGTCGCCATGAACACGAGACTCACAGTGTTGCTATAGGTAATTTTGTTGGAAGTATAAGCGACTTTACCAACGCCGCCAACCTAGGTCAGGATGGCTTCCGCAAAAGGGCGGATAAACTATCGTCAGTAACTGCTTTCTATGCTTATTCTACGACTTGCTAAACAAAATCATGACTAGCCTATACATGTTTGCTCTATTTCTTGGTCGACTAGGGCTCAACTATATCAACAAGGTGCGACCTACCGTCGTTGGCTTGCGACTATTACTCCTATTTCCCTCGAGCCGCGAGATTGCTAAATAGTGTTACACCTAAATAGTTTGCTTTTCGAATGATTGGAATCCGAATCTCCTCAGCTATCCGACTGCATTACTTGACAGCACTGTTGGGTCAAAGCATACATGTGCTGGATTCAATGCCTCCCGGCTACGCCACCACAACAATTACATCCACCAGCAACGTGCTCCAGCTTGGCATCTCGGAGAAGCTCGGCGTCTTTTTTGAGTACAATGCCACCATTGTTGCTGCCATCATCATTGCATTTACTCGGAATTGGGCCCTCACGCTCGTTACGTCTTCGGCGATTCTCTTCATTGCCCTCACTGTATCGGTGCTTTTGCCCATCATTGTCAAGGGCCACGGAAAAGTAACTCTCGTAAGTGGCAGTTCAATTCATTGATACGGTAGCGCTGTCAAGGGTAAACTAACCTCTCTGAATAGGCTGAAGCAAAATCCTCTGCCGTCGCAAGCGAAACATTTGCTAGCATTCGTATGATTGCAGCGTGTGGCGCCGAGAGCCGCATGGTAAAGAAATACGGAATATCTGTTGAGGAAGCCAAAAAGCACGCTCAGCGTACAGCTCCATTCATTTCCCTGCAGTTTGGACTCATTGTAAAGATTCCCCAGCCCCCTCCAAAATGCACACAAAGAGCTTTGTTAACATATTGCAGTTCTTCAGCGTGTTTTCCGCCTTTGCGCTTGCATTCTGGTATGGAACCAAGTCCGTGGCTGAAGGCCGAATTGATAATGTTGGGACGATTGTCATGTAAGTTGATTTACTTCTATTATACGTAGGATTGCCCAATGCTGAGTTGAAAAAGCGTTTTGATGTCCGTCATGATGGTCGTTTTCTCCCTAGAACGAACCACCACCCCTCTTCTCGCTGTCAGTAAAGCTACGGTTGCCGCTGCCCAGTTCTTTACCGTTATAGACGCTCCCCAGCCGAATAAAGGTCATCTCACGGAAACCGATGTTTCTGCCACGGAAGACATTGTCTTCGATAAAGTCACATTCGCCTATCCGAGCCGTCCCCATGTCAAAATCCTAGACGAGTTGGATCTCCGCATCGAGTCGGGTAAAATCAACGCCATTGTTGGGCCTTCGGGCTCGGGAAAGAGTACAGTTGTAGGACTGATCGAAAGATGGTATACGCTTAAGGAACAATATGTCATCGAGCAAGCTGTGGAACAGGAAAAGAAGAACAAGAAGAACAAGAAGAACAAGAAGTCGGTCGACGAGGAAGCAGAGGAGATCAGAGCGCAAGAACTAGAAGAAACGGGCCCGCCGGTGAAACTTAGTGGTACACTCACAACGTGTGGCCATGCTCTAGACGACATCAATTTGAAGTGGTGGAGATCACAGATTGGATTAGTCCAGCAGGAGCCCTTCCTCTTCAACGACACAATCTTCAAAAACGTGGCGAATGGTTTGATTGGTACGCAATGGGAGAGCGAGTCTGAAGAGAAGAAACGAGAATTGGTCAAGGACGCATGTGTTGAAGCATTTGCTGAAGAGTTTATTGACAAGCTTCCACAGGTCAGCTGAGAATTCTCTCCCAGTTCTGAACTTACAAAGGCTAACTCTTCGATATTCTAGGGTTATGACACCTTGGTTGGTGATAGTGGTGCCAAACTCTCCGGTGGTCAGCGTCAACGTATTGCCATTGCGAGATCCATCGTTCGAAAGCCAAAGATCCTTATCCTTGACGAAGCAACCAGCGCGATCGATGTCCGTGGAGAGCGTATAGTCCAAGCTGCCCTCGACCGCGTGGCTCAAAACCGGACAACAATCACGATAGCCCATCGCCTGTCCACGATCAAGAAAGCCGACCGGATCATCGTGATTAAGAAGGGAAAAGTCGTAGAGGAGGGCAACCACGAAAGCCTTATTGCGCTGGATGGCGGTGTCTACTCCGGCCTCGTCCAAGCTCAAGCACTGTCGTTGGGAGGATCACCCCAGTCCGACGAGAGCGATGAAAAGGAAGATGTTTACGAGGACATGGTCCGCGAAAAAACCCATGCCGTTACCGAAGCCGAGGCCCAGACTAGCGACAGCACCGAAAGGCAACGAAACATCTTCAACAGTTTCGGCCGCCTTTTCTACGAGACCAAGAGCCACTGGTACTTGATGTTCCTGACGGTGGGATTCGCCGCCTGCGCTGGAGCTGCGGTTCCGCTGCAAGCCTGGCTGTTTGCCAAACTCATTGTAGTGTTTCAGTTTACCGGACAGGAACTACTACATGAGAGCCGGTTCTGGTCCCTGATGTGGTTGGTGTTGGCGATCGGCGTTGGCTGTGCTTACTTTGGAGCGCTCTTCTCTTCCACCCGGATGGCATCGATTATTCGCGCCAAATATCAGCAACAGTATTTCGAAGCCATTCTGTACCAAAAGACGTCCTTCTTCGACGACGAGGATCATTCTCATGGTACCATGACGGCCCGTGCTGCGGGAGATCCCCAGCGACTCGAGGAACTCATGGGCGCCAACATGGCCAGCGTCTACATCGCCATTTTCAACCTCACCGGGTCCATTGCCATTGCCTTTTCCTTTGGGTGGAAGTTGGCCCTAGTCGGTGCTGCCGTCGTCATGCCTATTCTTCTCGCCTCGTCGTACTGGCGCTTCAAGTACGAAATCCAGTTTGAAAAGATGAACAACGAGGTGTTTGCAGAAAGCTCAAAGTTCGCCTCCGAGTCGATTGGTGCCTTTAGAACAGTCACGTCTTTGACCCTGGAGGCCCCCATATCGCAGCGTTTCGAAACGTTGTGCAATGGCCATGTTAAGACGGCGTTCAAGAAGGCTCGTTGGGTTAGTCTCCTATTTGGATTTGCCGACAGCTGCACATTGGCTTGCCAGTCTCTCATCTTCTACTACGGAAGCCGCCTTTTGGTCAGTGGCGAGTACAAGATTGAGAATTATCTCGTGTGCTTCATGGCTATTATGAATGCTTCCGAGTCGGCTGGCCAGAGTTTCGGGTTTGGACCAAACGCAGCACAGGTCACGGCCGCGTCGAACCGCATCTTAAACACGAGGGATACCATGATTCAAGGCAAGAGCTCTGGAGCAAAGAGTCTCCCTGATTCTCAGGGAGGGATGAAGATTGAATTGCAGGATTTGCATTTCAAGTACCCGACTCGAGACATTCCCGTCTTCCGCGGACTGAACTTGACGATTGAGAAAGGCCAGTTTGCAGCTCTTGTGGGAGCATCTGGATGTGGCAAGACGAGCATCATTTCCCTCCTAGAACGGTCAGTCAAGCGGAAGAAGCCCCTGAACAAAACAGTGTCTCTTTACAGGAACTAATGTTTTTTCGTATGTAATAGGTTCTATGATCTCGACAAAGGCCGCATCTTGTGCAACGGCCAAGACATCGCCGATGTCAACATCTTCGACTACCGCAAACATCTCTCTCTTGTAGCCCAAGAGCCAACCCTCTTCCAAGGTCAGTTCCCCCTCCAACCACTTTAAATCTTTTCATGAAAAAAAAAAAAAAAAAAAAAAAAAAGTCCCCCAAAGCTAACAGATTCTTGTCCCCCATCACAGGCACTCTCAGAGACAACATCATCCTCGGCGTCGACGAAACCACCGTCACCGACGAACAAATCCACCAAGCCTGCCGCGACGCCTCCATCCACGACTTCATCGTCTCCCTCCCAGAAGGCTACAACACAAACATCGGCTCCCGCGGCGTCTCCCTCTCCGGAGGCCAGAAGCAGCGCGTCGCGATTGCCCGCGCGCTCATTCGGAACCCCGAGATTCTGCTCCTTGACGAGGCCACCAGCTCGCTCGATTCCGAGAGCGAGAAGCTCGTGCAGGCTGCGTTTGAGAGAGCTGGAAAGGGCCGCACAATGGTTGTGGTTGCTCATAGACTGGCTACGGTGCAGAATGCGGATGTCATTTTCGTTTTGGGAGAGGGCAAGCTGCTTGAGCAGGGGAGCCATCTGGAATTGTTGAAGAAGAAGGGCGTTTACTGGCAAATGGTGAGTCGTCTCTCCTTTTTTCCCTTGACTTTTTGTTTCTCCTCATTTAATGGACGATTGCTAACGGACGTGATGAAACAGTGTCAAAGCCAGGCCTTGGACAGGTAATTCTTGTAAGAATACGGCGTCTATTGGGAGAGCATACATTATATACTATACATACATAATCGGCATTTGAGGTCAAATAGACGACTTGGTTTTGGGGGTTTTCTTTCATTTTATCGAAGCATTCGTTTTGCAAAAAATCTAACAACGCAACTCTTACTCAGACATGGATACAAACCTCTTCTTCAAATCAATGCACCCTTCCCCTCGGGAACATTTCTTGCTCTCTCGCTAAATCTCTTACTGGTGAAGTCTTGTTAAAAAAAAAAGGGGGGATCAAAACTGTTACATCATTTGAATATTGCCAACACTTTATTTCCACACTTCATCCAACTCCTTGAGAATGTAATTGGAATGAGTCATGACAAAATCATGAGTACCGGGAAGAACTTTCCAAAACACATTATCCCTCCCTCCGATGAGCGGAAGGGCTTCACGCTCGTAATCATTCACATCAATGAGCTCGTCGTTTTGAGCCAAGAGAACCATGGTTGTACCAGGCTTCCGGTGGGCAAGAAGCCTCCAGCTATCGTGCTGGTGCGTCAAGGGCGCATGTCTAATGGATGACATGAACGAGGGGATGAAGCCGGCGTGGTTGAGGACCATCCATCGGACATACATCAATACGTGCTGTTCCAGGGGAATGGTGCCGTCGGTCTGTTCGGTAGTGCCGGAGGCCTCTGCCATGGCGACTTCCGCCATCGATGCAGTTGGGGAAGCTTCCTTGGGCTTCCTGGCTGATGCAATGGGCTGCTGCAGACGAGACCGTGTCAAGTAGGCGAGAAGTCCCTCAGGCACGAAGCCCGACCTAAAGATGAAGAGAGACATGGCACCAAAATCCTCGGGGTTGATGAGACCGGCGGGAGCGAGCAGAACAAGCGATGAAACGAGGTGAGGGAACGAAGTGGCAAAGTGTACGGCGATGCCCCCACCAAGGGAATATCCAATAAGACGGAAAGCATCATTGCCGGTCCAGGCAAGGGGACTGGAGGCCAGCACGAGAAGAATCTGAGTAGTGTAGAGGCGCTCATCGTGAGGGAGGTCACCAACACCGTCCGAGAAGCCTCGACCAAAGAGATCCTGTAGCAGTCATTAGTCCGGTACCCCTTTAGGGTCATGAGGGGGGTGAGTTTTGTCTTACAAAAAGCATCACACGACATCCGCGGTTGACGAGTCCGTGAGCGATGCGGGAGAGAGTTATGCACGGGGTGCTGATACCATGGACAAGCAAGACCTTTTCGCCATTCTCGGGACCGAATTCGTAGACGCGGATGGATCCATACTAGAAGAAAATTGGCAAGTTTAGCTTCAACTCTTGCCTTTACATGCTTGGTTGTTTCTCTGTTATTCTTCTCTTGTCTCGCCTCATCCGGTCCGATCTCATCTAATTTCATCCCACTTCACCTCACCACATCTCACCTGCCCAACACGTCCCCAAATAATGCATAGAGAGCCACTTACCGGTGTATCAACATCCCTCGCCCCCGGAAAGGCATCCGGCCGATAAACGAGCCCATCGATCTCGTCTTTCGGCGTTCCCGGAATCGCCGTCTTGAGCGGGTTCGGGAGCGCCTTGCCCCATCGCGGCCACAGCGCCGATCTGGCAAAGATGAGCAGCGTTGTGGCCACGGCCGTCGTCGTGACTGCGACGGCGGTCTGGGACAGCGACGACCAGCGGAGGAAGCTGGATGTGGAATCCATGGACCCTGCGTAACTGTCGCGATCACATGTAGGGGTGACCACAGATGCCCCGCTGGCCGTAGATGATTTGAACCTCTCTGTGTTGTGTGTTGTGCTGCGTCGGCGTATTTGATGGTATGGTGCTCTTGCTGTTGATGGCCGCGGTCAGATGAATGACTCTGGGGAGGAAGCCGTCGCGTGCTGATTTCTAAATGATGTGTATGTGGTCAAGAGAGATGGGGTGAGAAGACAAGACGAGGATATTATACGACTATCTAAATCGCTGAGCAGTAGAGGGGAGGGAGGAGGAAAGCGGTCAATCACCAGGTTCCCACCCAGCAGAATGTCGAGAAGAGAGACAAGAAAGAAAACCAAGAGCACAAGATACAACAGGATTACAGACGATGGCTCATGAATGGGGGAAAAGGCATACATGTAAGCAGGAGATGCCGGTGACCAATCCTCGCCCAGCCTCGCTGCTCCTGTCAGAAGTCTGATTGCCAAAGTGTTCGTTTCGAGGATAGCGGGCCATGGGCGCCGTCTTCTCAATCTTAGCTTACCTTGGGCTCAGGCTTAGGCTTGGTGGGGGGGAAGTTCCGTTGATGTTTGTGGGCAGCTGAAAGCACATGCAAATGTTTAGCACTGCAGCTAACGAGCAATTGGCGACATTTACAGAGCGTCAGTGATTTTCGACGAATTGATGGATCCAAGCCTTGACTTGGGCCTGCACGTGGCTCTGCCTGGCTGACTGGCTGACAACCAATCAATCCAACACTCGCCTGCCATCTTGTGTGATGCAAAAAAGAACATCCATATAATATTCATCCATCTAATATACATGGTATAATCAATCTACATTGCACTGCATGCCATCCTCCAGTGTACGCCAGTATCTTCCCACGCCCGGGTATCATAAAACGATGCTAGATATTTACTCCCCCCTCAGTGATGAGCCAAGGGAAAACACTTTGCAAGAAAAATACAATCGACTCGACTATCCCAATCCAACCGCCCAAGCCGCGTTTCCAAGCTGTTTAATTAGCTGGCAGAGATTCTCCACAAGAGCCGGCAAGGCATCCTGAGGCCGTCGAAAGTTGGCCTGTAAAATCTCCTGTGCAATGTCCATGCACGCACGAGGGTCGTAAACCGATGCATCGCCTGGCGTAGCGCCAGAGATCGGTCCTGCAGGCCCTTGGATAAAAGGCTGCCCCTGTCCAAAACTCAAAAACTGTTGAATGGTTGTGGCATCGCTGCCGTCGTCCAGATACATGGGTTCATATCCATACTGCGATGGCATCTCCTGCTGTTGGCTGGCTCGGAACACAACGCCGTACGTCCACAAAGCAAGCGCGGCATGGTGGACTGCTATGGCATAGAAATCCTTCAAGGACCCAGCAGGAAACAGCTTGGCGTATCGAAAGATCTGACCGGCGCAATAGACTGCATACCAGGACTCGGGGCTAGCCGTCCATTGCTGCAAAATGGGGTACATACGACGGGCCTCTTCCTCCCCTTGCTTGCCCGAAAAGATCTGCAGGTCGTCCAAGGATACGTGCAGGTGCATCATGAGAAGATACAGGACAACATGCTCCTGAGGAGAAACATCCTGCAATTTCGACGCAACAAACTGAAACGACTGCAAATCTCTCATGAGCTCCTGACGTCTCGAGCTAAGCATCGGGTTAGACACTTCTTTGGAGTAGCTACGAAACTGGTGCACCACGCTCATTTGAGAGTACTCCAGAATCATTGACCAAAAGCCGTGAAGGAAAACAGAGACGGATAGCTGCATGTCGATGCGCGTGCTATTGTCAGCAAGTTGACGTGGGTCTCTGTACATGTCGGCGATTGATGGCGCTCTTGCATTTGGTTCAACAGATCTCGTTAAATAGATGGCCTTCCACTCAGATGCTGTCTTCGCAGACCACAGGTCTTTCTGTTCCGGCAGGGGTAGTGTCAACTCGGCATACGACATGCATGGATTCGTCAACGCTGTCATGGATATTTGGGCTTCCCGGATGTAACAGTGGAATACGAGCCTTCCCCCTTTTATGTTAGCACCAGATCGATGAGGAGCAGATCCATCCCAAACTGACCTCTTCCATTGTTCCGCAGCCGCCCATTTCATCCACTTTTGTTCTAGTATCTCGCCCTCGTCGGAGGGATCGACCGTGATAACGGGGTACATGCATCGCTGGAACAGCCGACGATATCGCATCATCTAGCAGCGCTGTTAGTCGCACGAAAAAGACAAAGTCGGCAATGTGTAATTTTCCCATACCGTTACCGGAATTACCAAATGGCACTCGGCAATCTCCATTTTCCTGCGGTTGCCACTCCACAAGCCGATATCTTGCCCCAGAATGAGGGATTGGACAAGACTAAGGTTTTGTATGGCTGTGTTATTGTCTTCGAACTGTCACATGAGTTAGATGATGGGACGGGTTTTCGGTGTATATCCATTCGTCGGGCTGAGTGTAAATATATCTTACCCGTGCAGGTATCGTAATTCCTAGTAGATTCTGGTGTAAGCTCATGATGTCTCTTCAACACATTGCCGTCTCATCGATGAAGAGGAAGGGCAGAGGAGGCGGAAGAATCAAAGGAGTTCCACTTACGAACTGCCTCTTGAACGGCAAAACCAAACTTTCGCAACGTCGGAGCTGGCATCAAGACAGCGCCAGCAGCCACGGCGTTTCCAATCCATTCAGGCCATACCGAGTTCAGCTTGAGGGTAGGATAGTGTATCCATGTCGATACCTGACGGAGGTGGGCTGCCAAAAAGGCTTGCACCATTGTATCCATCACATCGACTGTTGGAAAAGAGGCGGCCACCCGGCCGGCTGTGGAAGCATCTCGACACGTCTTCAAGACAATGGCGAGAATCTGGTCGCGGCTGGGAAGATTCAGCCTTTGATCAACCACTCGCTCCAGTTGTCTCTTGACCTCTTGGAACTGAGCATTGGAAACATCCGTGGCTGATATAGGAAGATTGCCCTGCTCAGTGTAGGCGTTGTCCTTGGTGGTGGGGTCCCACTTCCATGGCAGTTCCCCCCAGACGTTGGCAAGATTCTGTCGCATTTGAGACATATCCAACGAGTTTTGCGGGTTGTGATCAGCCATTGTGGGTGTTATCAGAGAGCCATCGTCCAGATTCAGGTTCCAATGGTCCAGGAGGCCAAAGTCCATCTCTGTCAGATCCATGTCCATGTTGTCACAGAAATCCAACACGGCCGGGCCTTGAGATTCAGACGGCCGTGACAGATCCACCGGCTGAGGGTAGAGGACATCGCGCAGGAAGTCAAAGAAGGGGATGTTATTGAACGCCATAGGACCTGAGCCAGTTCTTGAAGGATCATGGGGTTGAACTGGGTTGTTAGTAATACTGCCTAGAAAGGGGGTGTTCATTGTCAGTCTTGGCGCCCCCAATCGAAAAAGCAGCATACATGTGTGATCCAGTATTCATTTTCCCAAGATTAATCACGAGGCTTACCTGGTCCTACCCCCGTATCCGGAGTAGTCAGCTGGCTGTCGCCTTGCCTTGATGACGCAGACTGTGACAGAGGGCTGCTCTTACTAGCTGTATTGTCGCGGATGAAGTTTGCAGAGGCATTTTGAAGAAGTGTGGAGTTGGAGTCTGTGGATCCCACAGAGGCAGCGACGGTTGGGCGAGTCTGCGTGACATCTTGCCCGCCCGCCGGAAGGTGGACAAGATGCCTAGTATTGCCCGGGCTGGCCTCATAAGAAGAACAGGGCAAGTTACGGCGGACACAGCGCCTGCACGGCTTCGCCTCATCGCATTTCACGCGAGCAACGGCGCAGGGACGGCAAGCCTGACTAACGCGACTGGAGTTTGGTGACGAAACCATCCGTTCACGCTTCAGGGGCGAGTCGTTCTCATGGTTGGTGACATGGCGCCTCAGCAGATCCTTCCGCGCGAACGTCTTTTTACAGATATCGCACGCAAAGCGTCGCCCCAGAGTGTGAGTCTGGACATGCCTGACAAGGTGCTCTGGCCGTGAATAAGTGCGGCCACAGTCGCGACAAGCATAGGGATTGTTGTTTTGGTGGCCCTGGCGCGACCCTGATCCTGAGGATTCAGCAGTGACGCCAGGAGTTACCCCAGCAGCGGCAGTGGCAACACCGGGAGCTGTTGTTGACGGCGGCCCAGCTGGCATGGCGATGTAATTCTGGGCCATAGCAGCAGGATTCGACAGCGCGGAGCCTACCGTTCTTGTAGCGGTAGCATCGGAGCCAACGACAGGCTGCTGTGCCAGCGGGAGGGGCGGAGAAGGCGCAGAAACAGGCACAGGCAAAGGCAAAGGCGCAAGGACAGAGCCAGGCGCAGGTAGTGGCCGAGGATCGCTGCCCGGACCCATGGGATCGAGGATGTGTGATAGAGACGGTCCGGCCATTGCGTGCTGGCTACGGAGCGGCGGAGGCCCCGAGTCCACCCGGTAATCTGGTCGGCAGGGTTCAGGACCACATCAAGGCCCTTTTCGAGGATGAGATTGGAGGGCAACCTCGCGAATAGGATTGGGGGATTGGGGATTAGGAGAAGGCGCTGCCTCGAGCTCAAGGTTGCGACAAGCTGAAAGGCGAACCCCCGGACCAGAGGGGCCGGAGCAAAGGCTGAGCCGGTGCCGGTAAGGCTGAGCAAGCTGCAATATTAAGCTGAGGTCTAAGATGCCATCCAAGCATAAGCCGATCAGAGCTACCGAGGGACAGATGGCGCTACGCGGTCCTTTAGACGCCTTGTCCAAGACGTCGCGTGTAGGTTTGGCGCGAGCTGGTGTGCGCGAGGAAGCTTGGCATACTGCTAAAGGGTCCTGGTCGTCGTGTTAGTGTTGCTGAGATCAACTTGTGGCTGTCGAGGTTGAGTTACGCGTACTCCGTACGTAAGGTACTCGTACGTCTCTATGGAGGTTTCAGAGGGTGCTAGCCGTCGCTAGTGGTAGTACTAGTACCGCCACAGCGGGTGACAGCACGGACAAGTGCCGGTATCGATACCTCGTACCAGAACCAATGGGCATGGCCGTGCCGTGCCGTGCGAGTTGATGAGGGTGAGGGCGGTGGAACATGGGGAGACTTGTTGAGTCGAAGGGGGCCAGACGAGCTTCGAAGCCAGGGCTGAAGACGCAGCTGGAGTATCGCACAGGTAGATTTCAGGGCCATTTCTGCGGTCCGAGGGTGCGTGGGGGCCAATCTGGGGTGCGGCTGGAGCTCCTGCTCCGTACAAGAGTACATGTATAGGCTGTTTATACGCACGAGTATCAATACGCCGTATAAGAGCCAGGGCCTTGGCCGGAATTGCAGGCTTTGAAGGTAGTAATTGGTCACCTACCTACTAAAAAATCAAGTCTATTCACAAATGGAGTCCGTCGTTGATTGGTATTTGTCGACGCCGGCTTCTTCAGCTGGGGGGGCCTTTTAGGCGTATGTGCTCCAGGGCTGCAAAACTCTGTTAGTGGCCGGCGCCCTAGCAAAGCTTAACCCGAATCTCGGCACGCGAAGGTCTAGATTGATGGAAAAGCTGGGGACAAACTTTGGGCTCGGACAAGCAATTGAATCAACTCTGGCAAACTACTGTCGCAATCGCCACCAGTGCGATGTCATGCAGCCCGTTGCCGCCTGGTAATGGATTTCCCATCAATCTCTATTGCTCGTGGCGTCTGCGGCTTGGAACAGGGCAGCCGGAGATATCCGGTAGTGCAGAGGTTCTCGGGAGTTGACATGGCAAGGCCCTGGGTAGGTACATACATGTGATCATGTCATGTTGATGGAAGTTGTCAATCTCAAACGTGATGCCAAAGAGATTAGTTTACTTCAAGCACATGTCAACGTATGGCATCCAATCAGTGACACACACGGGGGTGATGGTTGTAACTCAGACGCCCAAGAAGGCCTGGTACATATTATTTCGAGTAATGATTCGAGGTAGTATTGAGGCCTATCTGCCATCATCAGTACGGGTAATACTTGAACCAACATCAAACGTAGTGGCGCCGTCGCATCTCGGAATACATGTGCTCGTAGCAATCGGCAAACAGACTGCGGGTACAGGGATCCATTGCTGAAACGGCCCTGGCTGATGCCGCCCCCGGTCGTTAGTTTGCCGACCTCTCGAGACACGTTGGTCCCCAGCAATTCGCGTCGTTGCCTGTAGGACTCGTAAGCAATCTCCAGATTGGGATCCCCTTTACGGGTATCTATCCGTATGGAGTAATAGGTGGCATTACCAGAATAGGCCCATACGAGTACCTCGTACTACTGGAGGTTCGGCAAGTTCAGTTATCAATCTTCTTCCACGTTGTAGCTAATGCACGTACAATATCAGTAATTAAGTGGGCGACACGCTACACCTACGGGGCTCTCTTTTCTTTTCTTTTTCCCCTCCCCGACACTATTACATGCTAATACTGGCGCCACGACAAGCCTTGCGAGATGTAATTTTCCTTGCTTCTTCTCTTTTCCCTAAATCATCGTCGGTGGCGGTTTGTGGATTCTCATTGGCATATCAAATCCAACTTGACTGTCACAGGGCAAAGATGTCTCAGTTCGTTCAACACCACCCCAACCCTACCCTCCCTTTTGAGATACTCCGCGGCACGCAACCCCTGAGGAGCCTCCCGCGTCCTTGAGCCTATAATCGTAGTACTACCTTCTTACATGTACCTGCATATGTCCCAAGTAGTATGCAGTAATATTCACTACTCATTCGGAACCTGGCAGTATCCAGGGTGCTCACGGGACTCCTCTGACCAGATCCCCGGACCGGCTTCTCGGGCAGTCTTCAAAGATGCCAAGCTCGTGACACCGATTCAGATTTCTCTTCTAATCTCCATACCCTTGGGAGCTGTCGACTGAGCCACCTCTCGCCAGTCTTTGTGCCCTCAGTCATGGCTGTCCAAGACGATATCATTGCCCCGGCGCTGGATCCACAGGCTGAGGAATCCTTCAAGGAAAAGACCCGAAAGAGAACGCTCGGCAATCTACGCCTTGTCCATCCAGAGACGAATGCCGTGATTCTGGTTCCCGCGCCATCCTCCGATCCCAACGACCCGTTAAACTGGTAGGTTAATACCCACTGCAGCTGATCTGTTCTCCAGCTAAACACCTCATTCTGTCCATCTCAGGTCAACATGGCGCAAGTACTACGTCGCCGGGGTTCTTTGCTTGACGATGGCCATGTCCAATTTTCTTGCCGCCGGGCCGGCTATCGCAGTGCCGGCGACGGCAGCCGAGTTCTTCCCAGATTCCTTGGCTGATGGCACCTTTGTCACGTCCGCCATTCCAAAGACGGCCTACTTCTTCACCACCACGTCTCTGCTCATAGGACTGGGCAATATCATCTGGGTGCCCGTAGCCAACAAATGGGGCCGCCGTCCGGTATATGTCGTGAGCTACATGATTTACTTTGCCACGGCGGTTTGGCTCATCTTTGAAAAATCCTACGCTGGGTTCCTGGCAGGCCGAATTCTCATGGGATTTGGTGCCGGTGCAGCGGAGACGCTTGCTCCCATTACCATTGCCGACATCTTCTTCCTCCACGAAAGAGGCAAGATCATGTCCGCGTACACCTGCTTCTTGTCCATTGGGGCATCGGGAGGATTGGTTATATCCGGTCTCATCACAATTCACCATACCTGGCGAACCATCTACCAGGTTGGCTCTGCCTTGATTGGCTTTGTTCTTCTTGCTCTACTCTTCACTGTGCCTGAGACCAGCTACTCTCGGATCGACGATTATAGTTCGCCTCCTGTAGACACACCTAGCGACCTATCAACTTTAACTACGACCCAAGGAGAGCTGTCTTCCCCGAAGAAGAAGAGCTATTTCGAAACTCTATTGGTATTCAAGGCCGCAAGTACCAAGGAGAACCTCGTCAAGATGATGATTCGCCCCTTTGGCCTCATTGTCCTTCCACCGGTGCTATGGTCTGCTCTTGCCTTGGCCGTTACTATTGGATTTCTCGTGGCTGTTTCGTCAAACTCAGCCTCGGCGTTTAATACGACGTATGGCTTTGCATCTTACCAGGTTGGACTTTGCTATATTGCTGGCGTGATTGGCTCTCTGCTGGGGCTGCCTGCAGGGGGTCACCTCGGGGATAAAGTTGCAGACATTCTAACAAAGAGAAACGGCGGTATTCGAGAACCCGAGATGCGGCTACCAGCAGTCATGATATCTGCAATCACCGCCCCGCTTGCTCTGGTCCTCTATGGCGTCGGCATCCAGTACAAGCTTCATTGGATATGTCCCACCATAGGAATCGGTCTCCGTGAGAACTACCACTTGGCGGTCCATGCTTCTTAAAAGGATTTATTGGCGCTAACTATGAGATGCAGTCAATTTCTCCATCACGCAAGCCAACACGATTTGTATTGTCTATGTCATCGATTCGTACCGGCCCGTTGCAGGTGAAATCACTCTGGCAGTTACAGGATTCAAAGGTGAGTCCATCAATGACCATCCCGCCGAGACGTAATCTGTTACTAACAAAAAGAACCTCCAGCCCTGTTTGCCTTTTTTCTCTCCTTTGAAACAAACCCTTGGATCAACCTGTCTGGCTATCAAGACGCGTTTGGAGCCATGGCGGGAATTGCGGGGGGAGTCCTCATCATGTGGATCCCGTTGTATTTCTGGGGAAAGAAAATTAGACATTACTCGTGGAAATGGAGAGTCATCTCTTTCATACACTGGGATAATGATCGCGAAGTGGGCGAATAGATAGATGTCTTGTTGTTGGATTCCATGTATACATGTACATTGTACGGGCTATTGACTCTTTTGATTAAGGAGTCGACTAAGCGAGATACCCATTTACACCAGTTAGCAGGCAATCGTCGTTGTACGGACCGGCCTTGATCGATTCAGAAAGGCCATAAAAACATGCAAGCACTATCACATTCTTATGCTAGTAATATGATACGACTGCGGAAAACCAATAACACAAGGGGGTGGCTACATATCCAGCGACCCGTTCTCAAATTTGAAGCTACATGTAGACACTAAACACAGGTACATGTAGCTACTGCTAGAGTAACAGATATTAGAGGAATGTAGTGATATTAGACGAAGATAATAACGATATCAGACATATGGGGAGTCAGATATTGACTACCTAAGCAGAGATTTGTAGTAGAATATAAAATCGAGGAAATAAAACTGAGGCTTTCAGGTTTGCTTTGCATCGTACTCCATGACTTGGACTCTACGATATCGCTAGGGTGCTAGATACTAGCTAAATTAGGGTGCCGAATAGCTATTCCCCAAGTATAAGTAGTTAAATTAGATATTCAATAGCTACAGAGCGATATCCAGTACGCTGACTCTAACATAAAATGAAGCATCCATGGCGCTCTTCATGTTACTTCTACGAGCCCTCGCCACGCATTGACTTACAACGTCAAAACCTGCTCCAACCAGCATCGCACAACAGTGTCAGGTGCACGGGCTTAGTGACTGACTAAGCGCCGGCGCCACCCTCTCGATAAGCTTCAGCCCGCTGGACCGATAAGTGATCGCGTGTCTCAGACCTCAACTCAAAGGGGTTTCGACTACGTCGTGATTCCATGCCCCGTTGTTGTTGTGCTTGAATTTTTCCGCCTTGTTGCGGCTGCCTCGTTTATAGAAGGTTTGTGGCCTGACCATGACTTGAGCCCTCTCAGGAGGCGTGGTACCGTGTGCATCATCGCTCAAAGTGTCTCGCGCTCGAAGGGGGGCTTGAGGTCTATATCAGCCATCCAGTTTCCCACCCGCGCACGGCTTATCCCTCGTTCGCAAGGCAGTCCCGGCGTCGCCGGTTGTCTTCATTTACTTCTTTGCCTCTGTTTGAAGAGCACTGTTCGTCTAAAGACATATTCCAGCATGGCTAGCCAGCAAGGTGGACCGAGCGCCCGAGCGCCCCATGATCATGATGCAAGGGAGGCGAGTCCCAGTGCGGATGCGATACTCGACGCACCATACTCGAGCGACGAAGAACCGAATCCCCATGGCCTCTCCTGTCGCTGGAGAACATCGGAATTCTACGACCAGGAGTGTTGCCGATACTTTGACTGTCCCTCTCATCTCGTTGAGAGGCGGCTTTCTGTCGATGACACCGGCGAACCCAGCGTTCCGAGAGAGAGCGCCGTCGAGGTGACCGAAGCTCGACAGTATACCATCTCCCCGAGGACTTCTATCGAAGACGAGCTCCCAGTATCCGACCACGACGGCACGACGACCGAGCCACAGCAGAGAGACGAGACTCCTGTTGCTAATACTTCAGCGCCACTGTCGGGCCTATCATCTGGGTTAGCTGCTGAGAGAGAGGCAGAGAGCGCGGCGAGGACTGCATCAGCAGCGAGTCCCGCAGCTCTCCCCGCCAGAACATCGTCCTTACCGATCCGCACTCGCGTTCCTTCTAGAAGCATCGACTTGCGATCTAGCGATCCGTCGGGTAGTGATATCTGGGGCGAGTCTTCTGATCACGGCGGTCGAGCATTTACGGCCAGCGCATCGGCGGCGGATCTGTCAGGCAGTAGCTCACCCAGAATGTCTGCTCGGGATCAGCTATCTGCTGTGTATGGCGCTGATATGAATGAAGGCAGCGGCTTACTTCAGTCGCTATTCGGACCACCTGAGCGCGAGCGCGAGCGTGATCGTGAGCGCACAGGGTCGGTTGTTCTTCCTAGGTGGCAACCGGATGCCGAGGTGACCTACTGCCCTATTTGCCGCACTCAGTTTAGTATCTTTGTGCGCAAACATCATTGCAGGTATGCTCTCTCGTCGTGATATAGCCCGAAGAGGTAGAGACGACGTGACTGACCAATAGGTGAATAGAAAATGTGGGAGAGTCGTTTGCAACTCTTGCTCGCCCCATAGGATCATCATTCCGCACCAATTTATTGTCAGAGCGCCTGGCTCCGAAGTACCGCTTCCTCCGGCACTGCTCTACGGCTCGGGCGCGAGCTATGTCGACATGAATGGACTCTCCGGGGGCGAGCGGGTGCGCCTCTGCAACCCTTGCGTCCCTGATCCCAATACTGCACCTCCACAAAGTCCAACTTCTCCTGCCCCGTCGCCGCGTGAGGCACGACGCAGGTCCCGGACCAGCCTAGGGGCCGGATATCCTGCTCCGCCTCCTGTAAATCGATACGGGGGAGTCTTTGCTGCTGGCCAGAGCAATGATCCTTATCAGTTTTATACCTCTAGGACAAGGAGTATCACCATGGTAAGCACAAGAGATATGATGGGATTCATTCACTACGGGAAAAGCACTTGTTTCTAACATGTTGTTTCGCTAGGATCCAACTGGACAAAGGGCAGGAGGTGCTTCGTCCTCTTCGTCCTCCTCACGTAGGCGCAGCGCCCACTACGAAGTGGCATCCATTAACCGGCTGATGGCGGCCGGGCCATCGCCTTTCAGTATGCCAAGTCAGCACCATATCCACCGACGTCGTTTAACTGGAGAGCCTGGGTCATCATCACGGCAGCGTGCTTTACCCCCTCCCCCACAGATTGCGGAAGAGGATGAGTGCCCCATTTGCCACTTGGAGCTGCCATCTCGGGAACTGCCGAATTTCGAGGCTCTTCGAGAGTCGCATATTACTACCTGTATCCAATCACACAGCACATATGGCAGTCCTCGTGGGGCATCGGATGGCACTGCACCGCTCCCCCCTCCCAGGCGCACTGGCATGTATACGTATCCCGCCACGGAGAAGGACTGCATTGATGACGCGGAATGCACCATCTGCTTAGAGGAGTTTACCGTTGGCATTCCCATGGCGCGACTTGAGTGCCTTTGTCGGTTTCATCGATCTTGTATTTCAGCCTGGTTTGTCAACCACCCGGGAAGATGTCCCGTGCATCAACACGACGGATTCGGGTACTAGATGGAAGATTAGGCGGCGGACGGCTGGTCATTTTGGTTGTTGTTTTACAGATCCGTTCGTTTGCATATTGGAGTAACTCGGCGCACTTGGGAAGAGATTTGAAAGATTTTACAGCTTGCTTGCCCAGGCATATACCGGATTCCCCTCCTTTTGATGATATCACTTGTTTCGTACAGCATACAGACTACAGGCCAAATGGAGCTGCTGGCAATTAACAGTCTCGGATTAGCTGAAGCGAATTTAACGAATTTCAGACATGTATGGTAGCGTTTGAAATTAATGCACAGAACTCTCTTCTTCCCTTTCTGTCTACAATGCAAAATTTGTTGTCACCGGCATCTTCTTGGGCATCTGGCAGTGCTTTAATCGCTCGTATCCATTAAATGTGTGTTCACATGTAGACCTAGGTGGTGGCAGTGAATAGGTAAGAAACCGGTAATCTTGGTATCACATGCGGAAGTGCTTGCGCATTAGCATTCGGGATGCCGTGATACTATTCGTCCAAAGGCAAAGCCTGCCAACGACGATCAACAAACCAGGATTCTAAATGTCGTACAGCCGCACCGGTTCTTTGGGTGTAGAACATATGGGCATATATTACCCCGCAATTGCAGACACGGCAGCTCGCATGTCCGGGGCTTGATTTTTGACAGCTTGAAACAGCAGTGTTTGAGGTGACGTGTTGCTTTGCACCACGAGGCCTCGTGTTTGTATATTACATGTATCACTCTAATCACCACAATCTTGCTGCAGAATGGTGTAACTTTGTTGTCCTTCCAATATTTGTAGATCATCATTCTAGCACGCTCGTGTTCGCCCATCTCCAAAGTATGGGGCAGATGGGGAAAGATGAAAGATTCTTCTCTTGCCTTCCATTGAAGAAAAGATTTCTAGCAATGACTTCATCCCATGTAGATCTCCCAAATATCCAGAGCCCGAGCGATCGGGGCCTGTGACGCTAGGGACGAAGGTGGTTTAGTGACGAGGAACGAGTGTCGCATCCCTGTTTGCTTGTTTGATCTACGGAACCTCAGTGGTTGCATGGAGTTTTGGCTAGTCGAGTGATTCAGCGGATGTTAGGGTTGCTGCGAGAGAAGTGGCGTGTTCACATGGACGATGTGAAGCGATTGATTTGTCTATTGCCATTCGATTGAGTGGAACAATACTATATCCAAAGACCTTTAAGGATACCGGTTGAGGTTGTCCTCGCACCCTGTCTAAGGAAGATTGGGTCTTCCATATCACAGGCTACTCGTACTTGATGATACCGTATCAGATAAGGGTGCGTCAAAGGCTCAATTACGTCAATATGTTTTGTTATTTGCAGAGCACATGTGTTGCAGATTATTGTACTCAAATTCTACAAGCACAGCACACTGGATGGTCAGTGTTGGGTACATGACATGTGGCCTACTCAGCCTGCTTGCCCATCGTGGTTCAACCACGAGCTACCTATTATACTCCATCAATGTCATACTCCTATACCGAGACCTCGGCTAGACAACGGTTTACTATACTGCCAAACTGCTCCCTCAGTTGAAGAGATGACAGTGGATGGCGGCCAAGGAGGTTCTCCACAAGCAAGACTTCTTTAGCAGTTCTAGTGCTGCAGGCCCGCGGATATTTCGATCCGAAATGAGATTTGATTTCATTGACCCTTTTACTCCCATCTCGCCCCACAAGAACCGACGATTGCGGCCTTTCTTCAAAAAGTGCCACCATCTGCAAGCAGCCATGGCAGGCGAGATGCTTGCTGCACGGTGGCACCAATCTTAAGCATCCTTATTTGCCATCCATGGATATGTAGGTTTTTTTTTTGCTGCCTGAGATTACATATACTTGGCATCAATGCCGTCTCCTTTTCTTTGGTGCCCCCCTTGCTGATGGAATTCTGCACTGCACTCACATGTTACCCGACCAAGACGTGCCGCTTCGTCACGCAGCCGTACCCGACGGTGGAGTGGGAAAGTTTCCATGCTGACAAGCGCTCACTCGCAGTCTTCATGATGCATGGAGAGGCATCAAGGGATCCATAGATGCATGCAGAGCGCACGGCAGAATAGAAAATAGTCGAGGCCTCCTGCTGCCGGATTTCCACGGGCTGTTAACGGCCACGATAGCGCTTAACCACCGCTGGGATGGGGCCACCACAGGCTCTAGAGCATCCCGCAGCACGACACCCCTTCCAAAGCCAGGCGCTAAAACCTCCAGCTGCAGCGGCCCCCCCTAAGCAGGCGCCAATCGCACCGGCTGGGAGTGGCCATTCCATGTTCCCTTGCCCTGCCCGGCCCGCGCTAGCAACCGACAATTACGTCGTCGCCACGCTTTCAGCAGTGCAGGGGAGAGCCAGCAAAGCTGCAGTGGGGTCCAGCAGCCAAGCTCACCACCTAGCTCCACTGTAGCTCCTGTCTGGCAGACCTGTAGCACCCTGCCGCGCTGAGCTTAGACACAGAGTACATGTACGCACGCTGCAATCCGTACACACGAACGAGGTACCGCTTGTCGTACACACCTGTTTTTTTGATGATAATCGTCTCTGCGCCACGGACAATCGACTCGTCGTCAGCTCCACCCACCACTTCTTTGATTGACTGTCTTTTCCTTCTCGTTTCCAGCTTTTCGCGCCTTGGTGCCGAGCCACACGTGCATTAGTTTGTGGCTTTGTCCAGAAACCCAAAAGGTGTGATCTTCTGCCACTAGCTGTCCTCTTTTCCCCTTGGGCCATTGCTTCGATTTCCGACATCGTCCAGCCTTGTTCTTTCTTCCCTTTGATAGCCCCGATCAGTTCAAGCGGGCCTTGGCTTGGACACAATCGTGCTGACCGTAAAATAAAATACATATCCATAGAGATCCGTTTCCCTTTTTTCTCTTTCCTGCTTCCCCTTTTCATCAATCAATCGTGGCCCAGCTCGGTTGCTTTTGACACATATCTGGCCACTGCCCCTCCATAAGCTGCCGGACTTCTGAATGACGTTATCGCAAAGCAACCCGATCAATTGAACGGCCCAGTTGGTGCACACGAGCAATAGTTGCAACAGCGCCCATAGCTGGCCATCATGTCGGCCCAGGAGGCGCGCGAACTCAAGCTGCAGGGGGCCATCGAGGCTGCTCAAGACCCCCAGACTCTGGTTTCGGCTGACGACGCTGAAAGGCTCATGGTCGATCAAGCCAGAGATGCTGGTGCTCCCGCCTTCCACTTCGACCCCAATGCTACTATAGAGGAAAAGCGTTCTCAAGTCGCTGCCGTACGATGCGACCCCCTTTCTCAAGTCGTATACATATAGACAGATGAATGCTGACGTTGCATCTCCATTCCAGGCTATCCCTCCCGAACTTCAACATCTAAGACGGAATAAGGCTACGGCCATCGCAACTGATGTCGACGACGGCACTGGCCCGGATGAAGAACTCCCAGAACCGACAAAAGAAGGTGTTATCGAAGTGGGCAAGGATGAACAAAGCAAACCCCTAGCCAATGGGGATGCTCCCGAGGTCCCGTACTCGCGAACTGGCTGGGCTCCTCAGATTGGATGGCCTGTTGAGAGCGCGCTTGAGGCTGAGAGCCTGCTCGATCACACTACATGGGTTGAAAGCCAGCTGCCGGATCATCTGTTTGGAGGTAGGTTTCACAGGCCCGATAAAAGCAATGGCGCTATCTTACACGCATAAACAGATTGGTACCACAACACCGGCGTTATTATTTTCGCCTGTATTGCCTCATGGCTTGTAGCGGTTCTCGGTGGCGGTCTCGGCTGGGTAATCATGGTCATGGCAATCTGCGGCACCTACTATCGGACTTCCTTGCGACGAGTGCGCCGGAACTTTCGTGATGACATCACCCGAGAGATGGCCCTCAAGAGGCTCGAGGCTGATCATGAATCTCTTGAGTGGATCAATTCGTTCATGGTCAAGTTTTGGCCCATCTACCAGCCCGTTCTCGCCCAGACCATCGTCAACACTGTCGACCAAGTGCTATCCTCTGCGACACCGGCCTTTTTGGACAGTCTCAAACTCAAGACCTTCACGCTGGGTACTAAGCCCCCCCGCATGGAGCATGTGAAGACGTACCCCAATGTGGGAGACGACATTGTTAGAATGGACTGGAAATTCAGCTTCACGCCCAATGACACTACCGATATGACTAAAAAGCAGATCAAGAACAAGATCAACCCCAAGGTCGTGCTGGAAATCCGAGTCGGAAAGGCCATGATCAGTAAAGGCCTTGACGTCATTGTCGAGGATATGGCCTTCTCGGGCATCATGCGACTCAATATCAAACTGCAGATTCCTTTCCCCCACGTCGAGAAGATTGAAATGTGTTTCCTCGAGCAGCCAACCATTGACTATGTTTGCAAGCCCCTCGGTGGTGAGAGCTTTGGCTTTGATATCAATTTCATTCCGGGTCTGGAAAAATTCATCTTGGAACAGATCCATGGCAACCTAGCGCCCATGATGTATGCTCCTCATGTCTTCCCTATTGAAGTCGCCAAGATGCTTGCGGGATCACCCGTCGACCAGGCCATCGGTGTGCTCGTTGTGACACTCCACGGAGCGCACAACCTCAAGAATACCGATAACTTTGCGGGCACCGTTGATCCTTTTGCCGTTCTGACGTTGAACCGCCGCCAAGAACTTGCACGAACCAAAACTATCGACGATAATCCCAACCCAAGATGGAATGAGACCCATTATATCATTGTTACTTCTTTCAACGACACTCTAGACATTCAGGTCTTCGACAAGAATGGCTTCCGCAAGTCCAAAGAATTGGGTGTGGCTTCTTTTCCCTTGGAGAGAATTGAGGAACTTCACGTATACGAAAACGAGCGTCTCGAGGTTCTCGCTGCCGGCAAAAACCGTGGTGTGGTCTCTTGCGACCTTCGTTTCTTCCCAGTCCTCGAAGGCCTGAAAGGTGAAGACGGTAAAGTGGAGCCTCCTCCGGTCTCCAACCAGGGTATTCTGCGCTTCACTGTCGAGCAGGCCAAAGACTTGGACGGTAC